TAATCCTCTTAGATGTTAAAGCAGGATCAAAACATGCCCTCAATACTTGATAGATTTCCATTGTGGATAGTTCAATATAGCAGACACCAACTCGTCCCCATGTTTGATTTTTGACGTTTCTTATCCCCTTTCTCATGTACTCTTATACTCCAAATGTTCCACACAACATACTTATTTCTGTAATATTATCTCTTCTGAAACTGAGCCCTTAACTCATAAGAAAGCAACAATTGTTCCTCATCAGCAAAGATGCTAGGACAAAAGTAATTGAAGCACTCGAACGAAACAAAACTTGGTCCTTGGTTGAACTACCACCAATAAGAAACCCATTAATCATTCATATTAAGTAAAACCGTTTCTATGCTATCCGAGTAAAATATTATAGCCATTCCTCGTACTTCTACTATAACACAAAACTGAGTTTTCTCTTCATTAGTAGAGACCATCATTAGTGGACTTATTTATATGTAGGTCATTTAGGTTACCTCTCCTCTCCCTCTAACTTTTTATGTAAAAAAAAGGGTAAAGGTAGTTGCTTTACTTTTAATTTATATAATTTACCCTTCCCACACCAAGTTTTAAACTTCATTTGAAATCCCCTTCCTCTAAATGTGGCAAAGGCCATTCATATTAAGAGATTTTCATTTCTCTGGCATTGCACTATCAACCAAGGTATCCACAACAAATTCCCATAAGGCAGTGATAAGTTTTTCAAGGTCAATCTTAATTTCCATAAATCCCTTCTTGTCTTTTTTATTCTATAATACTTTATTGTGTGGTGAATTTTTGGGTAATCTAGACTGTGTCTCCCCATTAAGAAACTAAATTGAGTAAGAGCAACAAGCTTACAATTGGAATCTTGGATTACTTCAATTGATTAGTTTCAGTGACTTTTAACTTTGTAAAAAAATATAGTAACTTTGTTCTTATGATAATATAGAATAAAAAATACCAGAAAAAGTAATAAATATGTAAATTTATTAGATTATATATAAGTTTGTTAAAAAATATTTATTATATCATTGTTCAATATTTAATGGTATAATAAATTTTTTTATTATATATATATATCGCAAAATCATTTCTACAGCCGATGCAGATACAAAAGGCAGGATACAGTTCTGTATCCTGGTTTTTTTTTTTAAGAAAAGCAGTGGGACCCACTTTTCTGTGTCAACTGCATATAGCAGTTCTCTGTAGCCGCTGCAGAAAAAGTGTCCCCTATATATATATATATATATATATATATATATATATATATATTTATATATATAAACAAACAAACGAAAATACCAAAACAACCTTCATTAATTATATAAATTTTACCAAAACATTCTTCATTAATTCCTCGAACACTCAAAATAATGTAGTTTTGAGATGACACGACAAAACCTTAGATTATGTAACAGAACAAATGATAAACCCATATATATATATATATATATATATATATATATATATATATATATATATATATATATATATATATATATATGGAAAAAATATTTCTGCAGTTAATGCAGATAAGTTATCTGTATTTTTTCCAAAACGACATCGTTTTGGTATTGAAATCTTAAAAAATTATAAATATAAAGACTATTATAACCCTGAAATAAATTAAAATTACAAACACACCGTGATTTCCGCCCCAAAACGACGTCGTATTGGGCTTACTGCAGATAACTTATCTGCATTTATTCCCAAAACGACGTCGTTTTGATATTGAAATCTTAAAAAATTATAAATATAAATACTATTATAACCCTGAAATAAATTAAAATTACAAAAACACCTTGATTTTCGTCCCAAAACGACATCGTATTGGGCTTACTGCAGATAACTTATCTGCAGTAACTGCAGAAAAAGCGAACCATATATATATATGATAAAGGTTTTCAACGATAATGATAAATATTTTAGAGAGACAAAAATATTTACGAAATTTGAGAAAATCCATCACATTTTTCACATTTAGGTAAGTGACATAATCAAATTATATATAGAATACGATATGAGATAAATAGATAAATTATAATCAGATGAGACAAATTAGCCCCTCAAATCCTCTGATACACTAATATATGAAGAGTAGCAATTATTATTAGAACCCCTTTTTATTGATTCTTGTTGTTTAGTAGTTAAGATTATCGATTTGTTGTACTGAAATACCAATGTTATCACCAAAAATGTGGATTAATCACTAAGGGATTGTTCCATCTTAAATAATAACTTCGAGTTTGAATCTAGATACACAACTCTGTTAAAAATTTGATAAGAAGAGTTTTGTCACCTTTCTGTCTTGCCTATCTCAAATTGAATTAATCAAGTAACCGATGAAGTAGTAAAATAATTCAAAAATAAAAAAATGATGAAAATTAACGTTAGAATATAATAGGGTTATTAAAAGTGGACTCGAGCTTAGGCTAGGGCTAATACTTGACTTAATTAGTACCATAAACAGGTGCAGTAAAATACTATATTAGTGTATCATCTTCCCATCAATCTCATTGTATTTTTAATAGCCATTCTCTCTTTTCTCACCCTCAACAACGTTGGGTATTTAACTTTCTAGCTAGTTTTTTCCCCCTAGTGACTCTTGGCTGTGTTGGCCCTGCCCAGTGCATTTATTCATTATTATGTTATTGTTGCTTTAATTGGGTTGTCATGATTTCCTGAATTTGGTACTTCTAGCCTTCATTTTCGTTTGTGTTTCTGGCCACGGCTTTGGTGTCTCACATTATGAATCTAGCGATGAAGGTTGCAACAGATTCGATTCCTTTGAAACTGTGATGATGTTTCTTCTATAGACTTGATGGGGGTGTGAAGACCGTTCCAATTCGGTAAACTTTGCTATGCTTGGAACATATGCCAAGAAGGAAGGAGCTATTTTGCCAAAGACATTGCCCAAGCTTTGTTATTCGGATGGAGCATTTAGTTTCCTAAGTTCTTTGTTGAGATTTACCGAGCTTGTTTAAACGTTGATAGTTTCTTTGTTTTTTATTTTTGAATTTGCCACTTAAAACAAACTTACAATATTAAATTATATAAGGTTATTGAATGTAAACTTAAATTTGTATAGTAGTAATAGTACTTGACCAAATTAGTAGTATATATAAGTCCATTGATTTATTGTATTAGTATACCAACTTACTATTAATCTCATAATACATTGTTAGTCACCATCATCTCTTTTCCCTTCTTGTGTAAATGCTAATTTTCAACAATGAACTAATGTTTTAGGCTTTCTATAAATACAACATTTTATAATTTGATACTTCTTCGTGATTTTTTATTTATATTTTTATAATTGAGTATTTTTTTTATTTTGGGATAAACAACAGATATCTTTCACAGGAAGCAATCATGTGCAAGCCGAGAATATCCACATCATAGTGAGACTAACTCTTTTTTTGCATTCACAAGAACTTAAACCTAAGACATTGCTTAAGCAGAATCAAATATATACCACTTGAATCAACTACCATTGATTTTAATTGGGTACTTGAATTGGGTCCTCCTAGAGCTGTCAAAATGAGCTAGCCCGTCCCATTTGACCCTAACTCGTGTGAGTTAGGGCCAAAAAGCCCGCAGAGCCAAATGAACCTCAATAATCAAAAGCCTTATTGATTAGGGTCAGCCCGCAGGTCATCCAAAATTATAATTTCACAATTTTTTTTTATCATATTCAATACATTAAAAAATATTTTAACAAATGAATTTTTAACACTTTCTTAGCATATTTTATACAAATTATAATTTTTTTATAATTTTTTTTTAACAAAATAAGATTTGTACATAAATATACAAGTGAAAATGTAAACAAAATTTTAAAATAAATTAAAATTTAGTTACTACTTTTACTAAATTCATTATTAAATGATGCCATCAAATAAAAAAAATTTCACCGGTAGTAAATACAATTATAGTGAAAAACTAAAAGTAATGATGAAAAAATTATCTTAATACCAGTATTAAATAAATGCTCTTATTATGTTATATATTTGAAAGTAAAATAATTGATTTTCTTTAAATACTATCATTACAAAAAACTTTTTAGTTATTATTATCCACAAAATTACTAAAGTGCATTGTATACAATGTTTTAATACAAATTTGGATATATAACATGCTTAGATGTCAATAGAAATTTTATTTTTATTGATGCGCAAATGAAAATCTCTGTTAAAACATATCACTACTGGAAAATTAATTTTTGTTGTAAAATATTATGATGAACTTAACATGATTCATAAGACGTGACTCTTTTGTTTTTCATGACCTTTGATATATTCTATAATCATCACACTAATGGTGTGTTGAATTGTAGAATACATCTAAAGGGGTATTGTAAAATATTATAGATGACCTTTCGCATGGATTATGCATGACCTTTCACATAGATTATGCATGACCTTTCACATGGATTATGAATGATCTTTCACATGATTCATAACATATGACTCTTTGTCTTTTCATGACTTCCATGTTTAAAAATGCATCTAAGATAGGTCCTTATACAAACTCTTTGCTCATACTTATTCCTATTTTATTCTTTCTTTTATTTTTTTTCTCCACTTCATTTTCCTTTATTTCATATTTCACTTTCTCTTACATTCTCCATCAAATTCACTACAATTTTTACTTATATTTACAAAGATTTAAATTTATATAATTTTTTGTTTTTTAAATAATAAAAATTTTGATTAAAGAAAAAGTTAGGCCCGCGGGTCAGCCCTAACCCAGCCTGCTAAATTATAGGGCTATGAAGGTTAGGGCTAAAACAAGCCCTACCACAAAAAAAGCCCGAATGGATTAGGGCCAAATATGATGCTTTGTGGGCTAACCAACGAGCTTTAATCCATTTTGACACCTCTAGTCCTCCCAAACATTTTAGATGCTTTAAATGATATGTGAATGCACAAAAAAAAAAAAACAAATTGCAAGGATATTTTTCGAGGATTAAAAATTTGTTTACACTAACTTTTATTAGATAAATGAAGAATATTACGAACAGGTTATATAATACATAGCTACAAAAAATTAGATACTCAACTTGGCCAGAAAAAATTAAGAAAATATAAATACGGCCAAATGGTTAAAGACCTTTGGAGCCTAAAAATATATTGCCTATCCTATGGGAAATAAATAATAAGCTCACCAATCCTTAAAATCCTGGTAGAACTGTAAGGTCTGCTATTCCTCTAGGGAGTTCAGCAATCCCTTTTAGCAGAGCTAGCCTATTCTTTCTGATCTTGTCATCATCCTAAATTACACCAAAAAGAAAATTAAAGCACTTTTTCACCCCCATTAAATATTTCTGGTATGGTTATCCAACTCAAACTGCAAGCAATATATATAGAAGGCAAACTTTAAAGTAAAAAAATACAATTAATCAATATGAATAAAATAATAATTTTTGTTATAAAAAAAAAAAAAAAAAAATTTTAGAAGAGACCCAGGATTCCTGATAAGACTACATTTTAGAAGAAAAGACCTCTACAATATCAAGTTCTTTAAAGACCATGGAAGACTATTTCAAAAATGCTTATATTCAGAGTCACCACAAATATATGAACACACAACTTCTAATTCTTTAATTGAGAAGTAAGATTAACATACCACCATTACGAAGACATTATTAAAGAAATCCTCAAGCGGGTGTATTAGCTGAGATGAAATATCAACAAAATCATCTAAGTCAAGACCTGTACAATGAAGAAAGTTTACATAGTTTAGTAAAATGAAAAAGAAATCCAGTGTTCCATGTCTAAAGAAATTAATTATCCTAAAAAAATACAGAGGAAAGTTAGAAAAACATGTTATATTTCATAAATATAAAAGGAAGCTATATTAGCTAGCATCAACAATATGCGAATAAGCTGGAGATATTAAAAAAAAAAAATACCAGGATTGATACTCTTTTTAACTGACAAAAACGTGCTCCATAAAACTCTCTCTTCATTTGTCTCAAGAACAGCCTCATCCACCTAATCATGTAAGTTTAAGCATTTGAGAGATATGCCAACAATAATAGATGTAATAGACAAGAAAAACAAAAGTCATTCATATATACATAAATGGTCAATAATAGCAGATCAAATATATGAATATAAACTAATTTGTTGATACGTTGTCATCGTTTACATTCAGACAACAAATTTCATATTCAGAATAAAGAGTAAGATTCCTATGCTTCTTCCAGGATTAAGTCCTCTTCCTTCATAACTTAATATTCAACTGAGTCAATACTAATATGTACTGACTAAACCTTCCCAGGGAGAAAAATTGCAAAATAAATCAGGAAAAAATGAAGTAAATTATATGCACAAATTTATTATTCATTTTAGTTCTGTTAATGAAATCGAGAAGAGTCAACTAGAACTCCGTGGTTAGCATCATCACCCAAATTATTGCTTTGATGTATTTTATGCTTTGGAATGAGTAGAGGCAACCAAACTTAAATGCATTCCTAAATCTTGTGGCTTTTATGCTATGTATCTAAAGTTTTTTATTTTAGATAAGATTTGACAGTAATCTGGTTGTCTTTATACATTTACAATTGAATAAAATAAGAAAAAAAAAATAACCTCCATATGAAGTTCATCTTCTTTCCCACGGACAATTCTTGTTGGCCGAGAGTATGCTTCAACTACTTTAGGGAAAAGCTTGCCTCTTGATAATTCTTCCATCTAAATCAATCATTATAAACCATCAGGAATATATTAATTATCTTCAAAAGTACTGAAAATAAAAGAAGTTACTTCCAAATGCAGGGGAACTAACTAGAAAGAACAAATTAACTATATTTCTAATCTCTAGTCTGTCTCTCTGCCTTGTTTATTGTCATGACACTAGAGCGAGATTCAAATCATAGGATCAGACTACCATCTAAACTGACAAATAATCCCACTGCGTAAGAAAATAAGTAAACCCAATGTGACTACTTGGACAGGTTGATCAATGCCTCCAAATAATTTAGTATGATGATCCTAGGGTGGTCATTTTACAGATTGCAACTTGATGATCTAGTTAGTTCTTTGCTGGTTGTATTGCTTAAAGGACAATTTATTCCATTTGAGAGCAAAACTCAGGCAGATTGCAGCTCAGAAAAGGCCCTGATGTATGGTGAAAGTACAGACATTTGTAGCTCCAACGTAGGTTCATGGCCTCAATCCAGGCCCAGTTATTTTTGATTTTTCGTAAACTTAGTGATTTCTCATACAAGAGTCACATTTAATTTCTGATATGAACAGTTAGGTTTTTCTTCTCTAGAAACTGTAAGTTGTATCTGAGTGATATCGGCCCATTGAAATGCTGGACAAAAATGTATCAAAGGTTCCATTCCATTTGGATGATGGAATTTGAAGTTAGTTTGGGATTCTAATTTCAATTCCAATTTTGTCAAAATTGGAATTCACAGAGAGTCTTAATCTTTATGATTGGGATAAATAAAGAATTGAGATATAGATTGGAGGATCCTAGTGGTGATGTAGCCAGCATCAACAATGATGGTTACTGGACTATGCCAGCAATAGTAGTTGCTAGAGTATGCAAGTGAAAAGATAGTTCATAATAAAATATAAAATATAAAATATAAAATTATGTTAACTTTTTCCTTCAGTACGTGGAATTGTATTCTTAGTGTCTAAGCTAAAATGAAATTAGAGTAATGTGATTGCTTTTCAATTCCATGGAATTGGACTCAATTGTAATTCCAATTTCCAATTCTAATTTTTAACACGAGACAAAATTATCGGAATTCAGGGTCCAGTTGTATTTCTAAAGTTCCATTCCAAGCCCATTTCGGGTGCTAAATGGCACCTAAATGTATTTGATAGAGAAATTTGAAATAAAAAAAAATAAAAAAATTGTGTTCGGTACATACCCATGTGTACCAATATACCTATACCAGATAGGTAGCAACTATGGGTAAGACAACCATTTATCACCACAAATGGCATAGTTCCAATTATCACAGAACCTTGAGGTAGTTAATCATGATAAACAATTGAGTACACATCAATGCTCTATCAAAGGAAAATATGGGGGGAAATGAAAAAGGGATGCTTACTTTATATGCTGATTTTGCCGCTAGACAGGGAAAATTTGCTCTCTCTGCAAGAATGGAACGAACAAATTCTGGATTCACCCCCTTGTCAACCTGTTGAAAAAAATATAGCAGTTAGTAAAACTCACTTGGCCATTCTCAGAATCATAACGTATTCATCAAAATCATTATAAGGTATTATGCACGGATACAGCACGACATGTTTAGGGCACATGTTCTATAGGAACACATACAGTAGATAAAATGGTTAGTGTACAAATCACATCAGTTCTCCAAAGCAATCGCACATGAAAAAAATTAAAAGAAAGAATATCCTAGTCATCACTCACTGAATTTCTTATCTGCAACTAAGATTAACTTCATAACTGTATAACTAGTGCTAACAAATTGTGATAATGCAAGAAAAATAATAATAATAATAATAGTGTGTACCCTTATGTGTATGTTGGGTTTAGCATAAAGTGGTGTTATAAACATTGATTTATTTGGTTGATAGTGAATGTTAGTGGTATTGGTTATCATTTAATTGGTAATATGCACAATTATTTTCATTTAAATGTGACCGTTACAATATATCAATGATAATTAACGTAATTATTATGACCATTGATATTACTAGCAGTTTCAATAAATGAAATAAGTATATTACCATAATTAATATCTCAGTTACAAAACTTCAACTATAAATAGGGGCTTAACCTAACCAAAGCAAATCACTTTCAATCCTCAACATTTCTCCATCTCCTCTACTCTTTCTTCTTATTTAAAATTTTTATTTTTCTGGCTACCGACTGCGCTTGTCTTCTCTCTATTCGTTTTTCCTCCTAGAAGTCATCAAACACGGAGACCAAATAATCCTGATCCTTAGGGCATCTTAAATTAGTTTTAGATGAAATTTGGAATACATAATCCTCTAGGTGATCGTAGGATAATTTTATATTAAATTTGTTAAATGTAATCTTAATCCTTTGGGAATTTTAGTATGTTTTCATGTATTATATGTAACCCTTAAGGGTATTTAAATTAAATTATTTTAACCTCTAGAAATTAATTGAATTAATTATTGGACTTTGGCTTTACTCTAATAGATGTGAATATTTGAATTATGATATGATGATTGAATTTGGGTTTTACTCTGGTAGATGTCGAATATGAAAATTATGATATTCTTGGATAATGGATTTGAAAACTATGATGGATTTGGAAATTATGATATTCTTGAAAAATTGAATTTGGAAATTATACTTTTGATTAAATTGATGAGGAAATTATGAAAACTATTTGAGGAAATTTTCCAACTATAAGAATTGTGACAAGATTGAATTTTATTGGTTGTGTATGATTGTAATAAATAATAATGGGAAGATAGCTCTTGGGATGGTACATTGGTACTTTCTAAAAGTGATGAACACAACCTTTGGGCTTTATGCCTTCGATATTACATTATGTGACAATGATGTTTTGCGTTCTTCCCAAAGTGGTATCTGGCAACAGGGTTTCCCGAGGTACTAGTAGCAACTTTGGGAAGAGGTGTGCACACTAGGATTTGATATTTTGATATGGCCAATATTGATTATACGTGACTAGCAACATGGTTTCCCAAGTCACGGGGTAGACTGGCAACAAGGTTTCCCGGGTCACGGGGTAGATTGGCAACAAGGTTTCCCAGGTTTACACTAAATGGACTAAATAAAGATTAATATGATTAATAACGAGTTGATACTTGATTTGAATTTTTGAGTTATATTACTTGATTTGATTATTATGAGTTATATTTTTTTTTGTATTTTGGATTGGGATTACCAGCTATGCGTTTATGTTTGTGGTTGTTTGGTTGCAATGATCCTTCGGGAGAGCAGATTTTCAGGGAAACAGGTTGCAAAGGATGGGGCTAGCTGTGGGCAGTGAGGATAACGACTCAGATATTTCTAGCTAGTTCTAAAGTTTAGAAATTTTATGAGATTTAATAAATGCATAAGACATATTTCCTTTAGTCAAACTTTAGTCTTTGGTTTTATTTTAATGTAATAAATTTAGCCTTGCACTTGTCCATAGTACAAATGCGGCGATAACATTTCCCAAATTTGGTTAATTTAAATTTCACAGTTATTTATGATTTTAGAAATTTTATGTTATTATAAATTGTTAAAAATTCGGGGGTGTTACAAAAATACACCTCCCCCAAATCATACAATAGTCTGCATTCATAAGCTCCTACACTTTGATTCGTGTCAGAAATATCTAGTAATTAGCAAATATGTGTAAAGTCATTGAATCCTTTAAAATTTTTGTAAAAGAACCAATTCAACACAAAAGCTTAAACTATTGGGTGAAACTACATTAATGGTTTTATATATTTCTAACACGCCTCCTCACAAGAGAGACCATTGGCTTGAAAGGTGGATGATGCACCAGGCTCAACCTACCTGTACTAAGAAATTCCAAAAAGAAAATGGGCAGCGGCGAGGATCGAATATGGGACACCGAGGCTCTGATACTATGTAAAGAACCAATTCAAACAAAAAGCTTAAGCTGTTAGGTGAGGACCCTTTTAATAATTTAGAATATACTCTAACACGCCCCTCACAAAAGAGCCCATTGAGCTTGAAGGGTGGACAATGCACAGACCCACCAACCTGTGCTAAGAAATTCCACAAGAGAAAGTAGGGGCGGTGAGAATCGAACGTGGGACATGAGTTTGATACCATGTAAAGAAACAATTCAACCCAAAAGCTTAAGCTATTGGATGAGGCTACATTAATGGTTTTATACATCTCTAACAGTATACAATGTCGGTATCGAGGTTCGAACCTATAACCTCATACAAACTACCCAAATTTCTTACCAATAGCCCACTCCTAGTGGCTTAATCCTTCGAATTTATTTCCCAAGAGTACATCTCTCTCAAACCACTCATCTCTTTGATATTGGATGATGATTCTCGCAACAGATTTTGGCAGAACAATTGGGTAGGGTCTGCATTTTGTAGAGGCTTTTCCTCATGCTTATAACGTCTCTACCTAGCATAATTCTAATTTTATTCCATTCAAGATCATATCTTATCCCGGAACTTTCATTTTCATAGAAATTTCAACAATATGAATAAACATCACAACGTATCAATTATTTCTGATCCAATAAAGAAAGCTATTGAGATAATATGAATAAACATCACAAATTTGATCTTCAACAAAAAGTGAAATACAGCACTTCATCATATTGGTTAAGGTTAATTAATTTGTCTGCCCCTATATGTTATTAATGAGAAAAGAACATGATACTTTCTGGGAAGTTATTAAAAAAAAGGTATTATTTGTAAAAATATTTTCAGTTTAGGAAGAATTTACCATACAAGTGGTGAATTAAGTCAACATAAGTGATTACTCATTAACTCTACAAACACAATTAACCAGTTGAATGGTCAACTCTTCCAAAATAGGAAATTTTTTAACAGAATTCCTTTGTTGTAATTTGTCCCTTTTTCTTTTTGCAGAAAGAAGACTCAATCTGATTAAGAAATAGTCAAATTGTTTTACAATCTGAGTCTTTTACATCATGCTCTACAACTTATGCAATATTTTCTTGGTTTTTCTACCATCACAATCACAATTTTTATTTTATATGCTGTACAGGAGAAAAGTGAAGATTAGCATGTTAGCAATAACCTCACATAGATCCAGTGTATTTTCGGATTAGCTTATTTTGTGTTGAAAGCAACTTACAATCAAAAGCTTCCTGCCAGAGCTTGTGAAAAAAAAATTTCCCAAAAATAATCAAATCCAAGATGCGACCAAACAATTTACCCGTGTCCACCCCCTCAACCATATACCCTATTTTGCCAACTAAAGATACGGCTCATAAAACAATTGACATATATCTTCAAGTCATTCATCTTAATGTTTTTAAAAGTTAATTTTGGCTATAAGTTGTCTTTATAGAAATAAAGAACATTCTTTCAAATAAATGATGATAAAATGAAATATCATATAATAGTGGGCAAGCAAAGAACTAATTATAATGAAAATAATACATACCAGATATTGCTCTAATCTTCGAGTAACAAATTGATGTACCTAAAGGGAAAATCATGATCATAAGATGTAAATGGCATAACAAGAAGCAAGCGGAAATGGGAATTATAGAAAAGGACTTTCATCTTACATCATCTATTACATGAGAATCTACTTCAATGGGCTGGACATCTGCAGCAAGTTCCAGAGCCTCTTTAAAATCTAGGTTTTTATCCTTTTCCAACAATAATTGTACCTGAAGTATATAGTGCATCTGTTTGAGTGCAAGTATTTATCTTTCCAGAACTTAAACTTATGCTTTTTTAAGAGAAATAAAATTTCTAAGAGAATAAAGAAAAGAATATGAATGAAAATGAAGGGAAAAGTATTGTTATGCTTACAAGACCATATGATATTCTTCGCAAACCAAATGGATCATTTGTGGAACTAGGTTGGCAGCCAGCAGTAAATAAACCTACCAGGCTATCTAATCTGCAGACAACTATCAAATCACATAAGATGCAGAGCTGCGTTGTTGAAATCAATCAGGAAATATCCCTTTACAACAAGGTGTATCATAGACTCATTTCAGATTGCAGTGAAAGAAAGTTTTATGATAGAAATAGGATTATTAAGGAATTAGAGGAAGGGGGAAGGAGGAATTGCACAATATCATTGCTGTCTTGCTTTTGCCAATGTCAGGATGAAGGAAAGTACTATTAACACTTGAAAAGCAAAATTCATCTTCTGATCGCAAGATCATCATCATCTTGAATTTACTTAAATCAGCCACCCTTTTACATTTCTACATGTCAATCCACCAAATTCCTGAACTCAATAGTTTTTCTTTTTCAAACTAAACCTTAAAATTCACAATTTTGTTAACTTGAAGGCCACTATAAGCCATAGTAGGAGGGTATCTTAAATCCATTCTATGTCATCCATATCTCTTCAACTTTGATAATAGCCTAGGCAAACTAATAGATAATATAATCGAAAGATTTGTAGCTCTTCAACAATCTGAAGTTCAATGAGCATTCTTGAGTAAAACACAACCTATATAGCATTTGTTTCTTCTAGCAGCAATGAGTTATGGGTATTATGTCAGATACCAATTATCACTAGAATAAATAAAAAAACTCATATTCTGGCATCAGTTTCACCTGTCTGCAATAGCCAAAACTATGCCAGCATCGCTTTTAGGAAGTACGTCCCCAGAAAATTTAGGAAGTGTGATCTCAAGTAAGGCCTCTGCAACCTGCAAGATATGGAGTGACAACGAAAAAAGAAAAATTATGTACAAAGATATATTAACCAAAATTATGTACACAGGTATTTATTTATATAATTATTTATTCATTTTTCCTCTCTTATTTATTTTTCTTTTCCCTCAATCTTTTCTTGCTTTGCATTTGGATTTATCGACTGACGACCCCTACTAGTCTGGGATAAAGATGATGTTGATATATTGATAATTAACCGTATATGATGCACTATTAAAGACTGCAAAGGAGAAACATAATTTCTAAGATTACCAAATAATAGCCAGCCAAAAATTAAACAAACTGCTCTGAGTATCCATCTCTAAAGGGTAGAGTGACCCAAATTAATGTACGAAGAGTTAAATTAGCTATTAACCAAATAGGATGCAGTATTAAAGATTGCAAGGATGAAACATAAATTCTAAGATTACCAAATAATAGCCAACCAAAAAGTTAAACAACCTGCTCTGAGTATCCATCTCTAAGGGCATAGTGACGCCCCATTATTCCTGAAAGTGAGGTAAATTCAGTGACAACTGCAGTGGCCAGATCAGACATAGCAAGTGAGGCAGCATCTCGGATTATTTGTTGCATATCTTCATTGATATCCAGTATGCAACTCAACTTAGTAACCATGTTTTCAACACGAGTCATCTTATCCAGCATGGTTCCAAGCTTCTCCTGTTTCATTTCATGTTATTAAAACAAAAGCAGCTATAAGAGGCTAAGCATTGTATTTTCAACAACTCTCCCATACTGGTATTATTCATTAAAGTCTCTAACTCTCCCCCTCGTTTTATTTTCAAAATCCACAATGACCTTGTCAGAAATAATTTGTACCTCATTTAAAAGAAAATAAAACTAGTAAAGGATGAAAACAAAATAGTTAAATAAATGGCTATTTATTCAACTTCCCAATTAAGATAGAATAAATATTTACATATTCTGGAAAGTAGGTGCTTTATCACAAAGGGTGTAGCTAAAATTTTAATATACAACTTACATGAAAGAGAATATTTTTCAGTTGATTTCGGAATTCTGAAAACCTTTTACGAGTGTCCATCTCATAAAAGAATTTAGCATCTTCATAGCGAGCCCTGCAATTATAATTGAGAAGCAAGGTTAATGTGGAGTCACCATAAAAGAACAAACACGAGATGTGCATTTGCTACATAGTGCAACTGTGCTATTTTTATACTTGAGAGCAAACAATTGAAGCAAAAGATAGTACTCTTCATTCTCTCTTGCTTGTAAATGAGAGTTGACCCAACGGGCACGAAGGTTGAGGCTATATCTCATTATGTTAAGTATCAGAACCCACAACAAAAAGAAACAACTGAGATTGTATTGCTATAGTTGAATCCAAACCAGACTCAACCATCTAAGTATAGGAAGTGTGATAAGTTAACCCAAGAAAAAATAATAGTAACAAAATTAATAATAATAATAATAGTGTATACCCTTGTGTGTAGGGGTGCTAAACGAGCCAGGGATCTTTGGCTCGGCTCGTGAAGGCCTGAGCTTACATGTCTAAAATTGGTTGTTGGCACCAGGCTTGAACTTGTATAAAAGCTCGTTTAATAAAAAGGCCTCAGGCTCCAATTCAAAAGCTCGGCCTTAGAGCCTCTCAGGCCGGCCTAGTATATATATACTATTTTTTAGGGAAAACTTCAAAAACCCCCCTACAAGTTTTCTCAAAATCACTTAATCCCCTCCCCGAAATTTTTAATCATTTACCCCCCTACTCAATTTTTTTTTATCACTTACCCCCCTAATTTGATTTTCCATCCAAAATTTTGTTAAATTTTTTAAAAGGTACCAAAATTACCCTTAATAGAAAAAAGAAAAACATAATTTCCTCACAAACTACTTTGTAACTAGTTTAATATGTCTTTTTAATTTAAGGGATGATTGCTTAATTTTAAGCTTGCCAACAATTGCTTAATTTTAAGCTTTATATCAAATCATTTGTTATTATTATTATAACAAGGAGGTATTCTCACTTAGTCCCCTTAAATCACCTTGCGGTTCGAGAATTAGCTATGATAAAACAAAGTTTTTTAAAAGGTACCAATTGTTTGCAAGCTTAAAATTAAGCAATCATCCCTTAAATTAAAAAGACATATTAAACTAGTTACAAAGTAGTTTGTGAGGAAATCATGTTTTTCTTTTTTCTATTAAGGGTAATTTTGGTACCTTTTATACAATTTAACATGATTTTGAATGGAAAATCAAATTAGGGGGGTAAGTGATAAAAAATTTTTGAGTAAAGGGGTAAATGATTAAAAATTTCGGGGAGGGGGTTAAGTGATTTTGAGAAAACTTGTAGGGTTTTTTTTTGAAGTTTTCCCTATTTTTTATACTACTTGTAATAGCTCTCTCTCTTTTTCCTCAATCCATTTCATCCTATTTTATTGGTTAAACAGAATTTTTGAATGATTTTGTTCTATATTATGCTGTTTGGATGTACCTTGAATTTATAAATATTTATGAAATTGTTAGTGTTGTTGATTATATATTCTGTTTGGATAAACTTGTATTGTCTTATTTTTTTAAAACAGGCTAAACCAGACTTTTATTTTTTGTAAACAAGTCAGGCCACAGGCCAATAATTATATTTATAACAGGTAACAAGCTTGGTCAGGCTGACACATCTAAACACAGGCTTAGACTTTTAAGAACAAAGCTCGGCTCGGCCCGGCCCGTTAACACCCCTACTTGTGTGTATCATTATATTATATTAGACATATTGGGTTTAGTATAAAGTGGTGTTAGAGGCATTGATAAATTTATTGGTTGTCATTGATTGTTACCAATGTGTCATTATTTGACTATAAAACTGTAACGTTAATTGATGGTGATTTTAGTTTGTAACGTTCAGCATTTATTGTTGGTTATCATTTAATTTGTAACATTCAACAGTTATTTTTATTTAATTTTGTAACCGTTAAGATATATTAATGATAATTAAAGTAATTATGATTACTATTAATATTACCTGCAACTAATTTCATTTTTCCGTTACAAAACCTCAACTATAAATAAGAGCTGAACCTAACAAACCAAATCATTTCCATATTCTCTCCAATTTCATGCATCTCTCCATTTCCCTTCTATTCTTCTCCTTTTTATTCTTATTCCCAACCCTTTCAAATTCTGATGCAATTATTTCCCCTTAGCTACCAACTGCACTTCCCATCACTAATCGCTCTTCTCCCAAGAAAGCTTTCAAACACAGAGTTCAGATAATCCTAATCTTTAGGGTGTCATAGGTTAGTTTTATTTGAAATTTGTTATATAGAATCCTGATCCTTAGGGTATCATAGGGTAGTTTATATAAAATTTGTAATATGTAATCTTGATCCTTAGGTTATTATAGGTTAGTTTTATAAGGAATTTGTTATATGTAATCCTAACCCTTAATTAATCCTAGGTTCATTATATATGAATTGTGTTGGGAATTATATTGGGTTCAATCTTAATATCTAGAAAATCATAGGTTAATTATATATGAATATTGTTGGGAATTTTGATGGGTTTAACCTTAATCTCTAGGAAATCACAAGATTAATTATATAATTATTTTCTTGGGTATAATCCTAATTCCTTAATGATAATAGGTTGAGATGTTGGATAATTGATAATGTGTGAGATGAATCATACCTTTGATAGATGTTGGATAATTGATTGAGGTATGAATTTTACCTCTAATAAGATGTTGGATGATTGATTATGTGTGATATGAATCTTATATTTGATGAATGTTAGATAATTGATGTGGAAATTATGATACTCTTTGAGGAAATTTTAAGTATGTGATTTGTGACAAGATTGAATTTCCCTAATTTGTGAGTGATAAGATAATAGTGGGAAGATACCTTTTGGGATGCTACCTCCTGAAAGTAATGAACACAACCTTAGGGCTTTATGCCTATGATGTAATATGATGTGAAAATGATGTTTATCCTTTCTTCCCAAAGTGGTACCTAGCAATAGAGTTTCCTGGGGTACTAGTAACAACTTTGGTGGAGTGGTGTGCACACTAAGGATTTGACGTTTTGATGACGGCCAAATTTGATTGTACGTGGCTGGCAACAAGGTTTCCCGGGTCTACCATGATTCTCTTCCCACTAAATGAACTAAATGAAACTAAATAAGATCAATAATGGAAATGGCATACTTGGATTGATGCTTGAGTTGATTATGATGTATTTGAGTTATGATTATCTTTAATGTGTTTTGGATTGAGATTACCAGCTTTTTGCTTATTGTTTGTGTTTGTGTGCTGTGATGATCCTTTGGGGGGAGCAAAGACCCTCGGTGAAGCAGGTTTTGAAGGTTGGGGCTAGCAATGGGAAGTGAGGATATAATGTCTCGCTCATTTTGAGCTAGGCTTAAAAGATTTAATAATTGTATAAGACATATTAAATCTTATACAAAATATTGCGCTTCCAAAATATTCTCCCTCTAACTACCTTGGTGACTCAACATGAGTGCCTTGAGTCCTGATTCTCTACATTTCTTTCTAGAATGTACCTTAAAAGATGGTATCCTAACAGATTATCTCTAAAATTCATTTCAAATAAAATGAAAGCTAGTATGGTTGTTTAGATAACTCCCATACCCATTTTTCCCCAAGTATTAGTATCTTACTGGTTGCTTGCTTTCACAATAAATGTTTGGAGTCTTTTAGAGATATAAAAATCATTACTAGGTCTCCTAATAGCTTAATCTTATGGGATGGTTGGTCATCAACAAGATACTAGAGTTTTTTTGACCAAGTGGTCAAGAGTTTGACCCTTACTGCTCCAAATTTTTTAAATAAAATAAAATTCCATAAAAAGTAAAGTGGGCTTATTTATTATCCATGCTTCAGCCTGAAAGGCTCTTGCTTGGAGGAGAATGTTAGAAAGATAAACTCATTCATGGGCCTCCACCTAATAATTCAAACTTTTAGCAGAACTAGTCCTAAACAGAGGCCACCAAGTATAAACAACTAATATAAATATTTAACAATCATTAAGAGCACTAGTACCCAAGAAGAAAGCCTGGGATTCATAGCAACTCCTGTTCAATAAACTATATAATACATGATAAGAAGTTGAGATAAGAATACCTGAGCACCGCTTCATTTCCTTTCCTCACTGTAGTCTCATCAATTGCTCCATTCGCAACCTAAAAGAAAATCACATGTCATTTAACAGATAAAAAGACAAAACATGCAGTGCAGATGTTCTAGGAGACTATATAACTGGAAAATAACTTACAGCAATAAAGTAAGGCAACAATTGTCCATTAGCATCACATACAGCAAAATACTTCTGGTGCTTTTGCATAACCTGGAGGCATGGTGCACAATGGTTAGCTTCTATTTTCAATATTCTTTAAAACTTTCCGGCTTTTATATATGTAATAATTGATAATAATCCAAGCAGTACAATCCAGAAGAAATTAAATTTAAAGATCCACAAATATCACTAGTCTGGTTTAATTTTGATATTGGCGTTAATTGTGATATTTTCAGTCAGGGCTATTTTGATCATTTTATTACTGTCGTAGGTAGCATTTGGCACTCCAACAAAACAAAATGAACAGACTTATGAATAATGGGAGGCACCTCATCGGGTGTTTTTCTTGTAAATCATATTTTCAGTTCTTGACTAAGTCCCCTGACAGAGATGGTTTCCTTTCATATAAACCCATTTGGAAATTCCAAGCTCGACCTAAGGTTAAATCTTTTTGTCTGGACTACTGTTCTAAATAGGATTAACACTAATTACATGCCACAAAAGCGCAGACCTCTCAGAACTTTGTCTACTAACGTGTGCAATGTGCTGTTCTAGTTTGGAAGCTGACAATCATTTTTTTTCAGTTCTCTCCTGCAAATTTTCTCTGGAACAAACTGGTTGGGATTTTTTTTGAGAGTTGGGTCTGCCCTAAGAACTTGAATCAATTTCTCCTTAAATTAGAGGGTTTGACTCACATAAAGAAGCTAAAATTCTGTGGCAGTGCTCTGTCTTTGGCTGTAAAGGAATGCTAGAACTTTGGAAGGCACTTTGTCATTACTAGATAACATTAGGGACAGGGTTACTTTCTTGGCTTGTATGTGGTGCTCTGCTCGCGGACTATTTAGAGGTGTTTCTCTGTTAAACATGCAGAGAGATTGGCACGCTTTGTTACATAACTCAATCTCACAGTTTCTAGGCGTTTCTTTTGTATTTTCTAGTGAGGATGTCTTGTCCTCTATCTTTGTACTTTTCTTCTCTTAATGAAATTTCTTTTCCTATTAAAAAAAAGACACACTTGCACAATTTAGATACGACAAAGGACAAAGAATAACAAGCAAAGAGCAAATTTTGGATACTGCAACATCGGTTAATTAAATAGAAATAAGAATGCAGAAATCATCCATTTGAAGTACTTCATGAAGACTTGCCCCTACATGCAGTCTTTGATATGAAAACACAATTTTAATTGGTTTAATGATCAACAGGGAAAAGGATATCCAACAAAATTGACGAAGCAAAACTGAAGCGCTCACCATAGTCAAAAGATCTTTCGGAAGATGTAAGAAGGTTTCTTTAAACTTTCCAAGCACTGGAACAGGTGCCTCAACAAGATTTACAACCTAAGATTAGATGTAAACGGAAATTCTTAAAATGCACATATGTGACAATATTGAGAAAAGGGAACATGCAAATCTTACCTCGTCAAGCAAACCTTTTGGAATAAGAATTTGGCCATTGACACTTTCTGCTAATGCATTAGATTGCTCAAAAATAATTTTCTTGCGGTCCTACCAATTAAATATACCAATCTTATTATATAGGTATATAAGTATGTATTTGTTATAGTAACAAACTTATTTATTCATACCTCAGCTGCAACATTGATTCCTGCATTTTTCATTGCAACTGAATATGATTCTGCACTTTCTACCTGCAAATTAAGTACAGTAGTTTTATTTTATATAAAAGAAGAAATTCATTAAGGCAACAGAAGATGATTACAAAGAGTTTGGAGGGTAAGAGATCCACCTTAAAAAAGAAAAAGAAAAAGAAAGAAAACAATAGAGAACAAAGAAAAGTAAAGTATGGAAGCTGTTAAATAAACACACACACACAAGCATATATATCGACAGAAATTGACAGCCTGGATATAGTAATGTAAATATATTTCTTAGGAATATGCTGATCGTCACCTACTGAAGGTATCAAAAGATCATTGACATGAATAAAATCTGATTAGAATTACCAAAAAATGATTTGCTTAGGTCTAAATGTAAACAAAAAAACTCCAAAAAAATAGATTTTCTACAACCACCACCACCAAAGCATTTCCCCACTAGCTGGGGTTGGCTACAATGATCAAACAACACCACTGTGTTCTGTCAAAATCCAATTCTTCAAAGAGGCTGTTGGTAATTTCAGTAACTATATTAATAGTATCATGTTGGTTATGTAAATAGGGTATTCAGTATCGTGTTGATTATGTAAATAGGGTAGTCAAAATCAAGTAATGATAGTAATTAGGATACTAGTGATATCTGTATTTATTACTCTTTAGCTATATAATCTAGATATAGTTGTGTAATTGAAGCACACCGATTTCATCAAACTCTCATTTTCTCCTACCATAACAAAAGCCATTTAGATTTTAAATCCTTTCTAAAGGTTTAACTTAGAGTTTTTCTCGGTCTTCCTCTACTCTAATTATTGGGCTATCCTCCATTTGATCAACCCTACTATTTGTGGCTTCTATTGGCCTTCTTCACAGGAGTTAAAATCCAAACCATCTTAGGTGAGATTCTACCGTCTTTATCTCAATAGGGGCCACTCCTAATTTCACTCTAATACATTCATTCCATATCTTAACTTTTCTTGGAGACCATTGTAAAGATGTGAAATGAAATCATTCATGCGTCTTCAACTAACAGCTCAAACTATTGGGATACTAGTTTATGACATGGCATTAGAGCCTATAACCAAATGGTCTAGAGTTTCATTATTGCATCCCCCCATTCCTCTAATAAAAATGGAATTTAAGCACAAGTTAGATGGGTCTGTGCATTGCCCATACTTCAAGCTCAAAGGACTCTTAAGTAAATGGACATAATATAAAATCATTTACATGTCTTCACCTAATAACTCAATCTTTCAGAATAGTAGGTTTATGACAATGTTACGATTCAATTGTAAGGTATGAAACTTGGAGTCCCACATCGGAGTATGGGATTTATATGGACTTTGCGTTCTCCTACCTTACAAGCTAGCTTTTGGGATGAGGCTTTTCCAAGATTCGTATCAGATAACCACTTATCCAACACAACAGTCACCTCTGCAACACTTATCTTATGCTGTTGTTGACACTTTATTGCCCAACTTTCCGTACCATAAAGCATCGTTTGAAGTTCAGAGGCACCATTCTATCACAAATAACACCTGAAGCATTCCTCCATTTCATCCACCCAAGCTTGAATCCTATGATTTACATCTCCCTCTATTAAAAAAACAAATTTTCTAAAAAGATTTAATTACCTGAGACAACACGCTTCATGCATATAACTGGCAAGATCATATATCAGTATAAGAAGTGGATTCTTTTTGTAACAGTTTTCTAACCAGTTAAATCATATCATTTTATGCTTTATGCTTTTGTGTCTCATATTTATTAAGTACTTTTCATAAATTTGAAATTTAATACTTGTCTATTAAAATTTTGAAAATTTTCAATTTTAATAAATATTTATTAATCTATACATATTCTTTTAATAACAATATTTTTTGTACACAAAATATATTATTTCTCAATTTAATGAAAAGAGTCATGTGTCAAATTCTCTTATCGTTAGTCATATTTCACAGATATCTTTCCTTATTCATGTCAGATTTTACTATTCTCTCTTCATTAAGTAATCTTGAACCATCGAATTAAAATGGAGTCAATGGTACGAATTAATGTAAGAGTTTTACTCAACACAAACGACACAGACACATTGTTTTTTCAAAGAAATATGTTGTCTCAAACATGCATCACACTAAAAACCATAAAATTGAAAACAGCAAGAAGGCTAAAGAATAGAACATTGATTGAAACACACTTATTTTCCATTTATCAAAATAAATAATTTAGGTTCAGGCATGCACCTGAACAGCGGCTGAAGAAGTATTACGAAGACCACAAGACAAGTTTCCACTGCATAATATAAACAAAACATGGTAAGTGTTATTCACGTATCAGATAATAAAAAGGAAACTGATAAACGAAAAAGAATTTATCGTAATTGGGTGCCATAAGGCCTTGGAATAAGTGGACAAGATATTATCGTTTCTCTAGTTTTATTCTTTGATCTGTTTACTGCTTTTGGTTGTTTAGACGGAAATCTTATGCCTCACTGCCTCATAATATTCCTGTTTCTAATAAAGTCTTCTTTTATAAAAATAAAGATATTGTGTGAAGTGCAAACAAGAGTATAAAGTTACACTCTTTCATTAATGGGAATAGGCTAGACACATCAATTATATGATGTAGTTAATGCACAGTCTTTAGATATTACTACCATGATATCGTCAAAAAAATAAATAACTCTGATAGATGACTTCCATTTAAAAAAAACAAAATATTCTTTTTGAAACAGAATGAGAAAATAAAATTCAAATATTTTATTTATATAGAATTGATAGAAAGGAAAATCCAAGTATTTTCGAAGTTCATATCTTACAAAAAGTATTTCTTAGAATTAGACCATTTGCCAGAATATTTTCAACTTCCAAAATCACCACAAGACAAGGAAACAGTTCTATAGTTCTATTGGAGAGTATATAATCTCCAATTTCTATTGGAGAATATATACTCTCCAATAAGTTATTTTGAAATGGTGCCTACGGAGCAAAAGGATAAAAGTCCAGTAGTATGAACACATACTTTCGACAGAATATCCAAAGAGAATACATTACCTCGTCACCCCAGCAAACATAAATGGGACTGCTACATCTCCATGCAGGGCTAAAATCCAACGGATAGGCCTGCTAAACATCACCTATATATTCAAAGTATGAAAACATATGTTAGGTATCCAGTTATTTCCTTTACTCCAAAATAAGGCCACAAGATAGCGGATATGTTTTTCAATTATCTAAAACTTCATGGGACAAAGGATAGATTCTTTTTCCAATGTTTCATCTAGTGGTCAGAAAGCCAGATTTCTGAAAGATTCTTGCAAATAAAACAGAGAAAAAATGACTGTATTTAGTTTCTTTTCATCCAAACAGGTTAGAACATTCACTCCCTTTCCCTGCATGTAGTATGATTATTATACTATTAGCTGTACTACAGCTTTACTTTTAAGTGTAAATATCACGGACAAAGCATTATAAATATAGCTATTATGGAAGTATAAGAAATAACTGTTGAGAAATAATTTTGATTACGATCTTAGGTCAACTGTAATTATTAGTTCCAGTAATTTGCACAATCGTCTCCTCTATTGATGTCCTAATTGTTTGTGCGCCTTCCTTTCACTACCAACTTAAGCTTTTGGGAAAGTTGGTTTAGAACAAAGGCTATCTTAACTTTTGTTTTATAATATCACTACTGATAGCATCACATTGCCTACAACAACACATTTAAAATCCAGTGTACCTGAGAATTCCAACGCATTGTCTTTGGAAATGAAATTTTAGCAATAGTAGCAGGCAAATCTTCAGACAAAACCTAGTAAGAGAAGAATAAATCAACAGCAATAGCATTTTTCTTACAAAGAGTGTAAGAAGCACAAAGAAATAAATCATACAAGACAGGATCGGTGTAAGATTCACATCTCAAAACTCTTGTATCGTATCATAAAACTGTGGTCAGAAAATGTCCTTGTGTCAATCTAAAGTTAATTAGCCTGGAATTTCCTTTTCGATAATTGTATATTAGATGAAAAATAATCAGAACGATAATGCATATTTATAATGACATTGACATTATCTACAAATGTACACAGAAATTATATATATTTTTGCTAACAAGTACATATTATAAATTGTGGTAATAAGACATTAATCAACATCAGTCTTCTAATTTTAATATAGGTAACTAACTGGAGATAAGCACACAAATCATTAATCAAATCAGCTAGCCTTATCTACACTCCATTGTGTTTATACTTCTTCTAAAACCCGTTTTTAAGACTATCAAGTTCATAAAGCACTTTCAGTGAAATCAAGAGTCTTCATTTGATGAAGAGCTCAGTTGACTCTAAACCACTTTTAAATCATGTTGTTAGGATATGTATTAGTATATTGGCTTCAATATTTGGTCTAGGATTTAAAGGTTCAAACATGTAACTTTAAGAAACAGACCCACATTTGCAATATTATACTGATTTTTCTAATGAACCCACTATCAAGAGAATATAAACAAACATAAAAGGGCGAGATTATAAAAATAAAGCAGAATAGAAAACCTCCAAAGCATGTCTTGAAGTCTCCTTTATAAGAGCATAAACATATTCTGTTTTCCCTGCAATTTCAAGAAAGTGCATTGAAGTACCCTATTAAAGGAGTGGGATTCTGGCAGTGACATATTAACCAGAAAATTTATGAGTTATACAAAATTAAATTACAGTGCTTGAAAATCAAGTTAAAAGTTCAAGCATGCTCTGGTAGCAAAAATATAATTTCTACCAAAGCAGCAGCTGAAAACGGATCAAGTCACTCTTTTTTCTGCAGGAAAAACTAGTGGCTATATAACTCAGAATTTTTTTTTTCTTGGATACACGAAGAATGTAACGGGTGAAAAAAGTACAAAATATGATGATCAGAAATCCTCCATAAGCTGCCAACAATGTAAAACATAGTTATGGCCTGATAATCAGCTGCATTTGGAAATAACAGTACGTGATTGTATTTTATCTTAGCTATTTATTATTTTTAATAATTTTTTTTCCTGGTTGCCAGTAGCATACAATGAAAACCAAAAATAAAACAAAATAATAAGTTAATGAGTAGGACAAGAAGAAACACAATTAAACCCACACAACAAGTGTTTTGCCTCCGGATACTCACCATCAACCTTTCTGTATATCAAGTCCAGTGGAACAGAGTATCTACGGGAAAAACCCTCTATGGCCTGACATGAAAAAACTAAATTAGGCAGCATTTCTTGAACCTTAATTCAGGACAAAAGAAAAATCTTAAGTATTGTGAAACCTTTGTTGGATTTCCTTCATGATCAAATGCTTTTGAAACAGGAGGACCTCGAACCTCAACCTCCATTTCTGCTTGCTTTGTGAAAAGATTTTCAACAGTAACCTGTAATGATACAACCGGGAACAGATATGATTGCTATCATTTCTTACATGAACATTTCTAAAAATTGAAAATTCTATGATGTATGCATTGCATAACTGCACATAACTTTCAATTCTAGAACATATGATTCCGTATATTAATCCTAAGTAGGAACTAAAGCAAATTTCTTCACATAAGATATTTTTTACATAAAATATAGATTATAATGAGAGAAAACCTTAAGAGGGTCCGTAAAACTAGGGTAAGGAAAGAAGGATTACGCGTTCTCCCAAAAAAAGCAAAAAAAAGAAAAGAAACAACAAAGAAACTTTAAAATATCAAGAATGCAAGAAAGCTGTCCAATCTCTGCATATGAGAAATGACAACTCCCTTAAAATAGATATGAGCAAAACACCAAAGAGAAGCCATAAACAAAATCCTATGCCCATGGCAAATTTAGGTGCAACATAACACCCCTAAAAGTATATAGACTTTATTGGTACAAATAAAGTAAATGCTTAATGGTAGAACTTATCTTTTTATTAAAAAGAAATAGATAAGAAACTTTATTGGAGAAAAGAAAAGAAGGACATATACAAAAAAGTCACGATAAAATATCCTTCTAAAAGAAACCAAAAAAGGGGAAAACCAAAAAAAAAAAAAAAAACAAAAACAATATCAAGTAAGCAGAGATAAAAAAGTTCTGTATGTCAAACAAAGAAACCCCAGTAAAATAGCTGTTTGCTGAGCACAATAAAGATTCCAATACAACCTTATATGAATATGATACGAACTTGGGAGAGATTCACCCAAAAAACTAGCTTGTAAGGTAGGAGAGCCCAATGTCCATATAAATCCCACACCAGAACCTTATATTTCCAGTGTGGAGCTTTAAAGAACCATTTTAACCCAAAAGTTTAAGTTGTTGAATGAGGTTACATTAATGATTTTATATTTCTCTAACACATCCTCAGAGAGAATCGAAGAAAAGACGAGAAGAGCAGAGAGAGAAAGCTAAAATATTATATTCTTGACCTAATTAAAAGGAGGCACTGTACAATACATATATAGAGCTGTAGATGGACAACTCAGCAAGAAAAGAAATGTTCTAGAATATGTACAGCTCATCCTATTCTAACAGATAAAATTGCAAAGAATATAATTACAATAATATCCCTAATACATCCCCTCACATGAAAGCTCATTAGGCTTAAAAGGTGGATGATGCATCAAGTATATCCTACATATGCTAAGAATCTCCACAATATTTAATTATTTTATTAATTGAATGGGGATGGTAAGGATCGAATTCATAACCACTTAGTCATGTCGGCTCTAATATCATGTAAAGAATCATTTCAACATAAAAGCTTAAGTTGTTGCGTGAAGCTACATTAATAGTTTTATATTTCTCTAACTGGAACTCCAAGTCCCACACCTTACAACTAGATCATAACATCCCACCACTCTCCGCAGCCCCGGCGCCCATGCGACTTGGCTTGGCACCAGTTTTTTACTAGTCTTGCGCGAACACTACAATGCCAATGTCACCCCTCACGCCACTCGATTACAACTGGGAGACAAAGAGAAAGCTCTGATACCAATTAATCGAATCTTGGGAGACCTCGCCCTAAAAGTTAGCTCGTAAGGTGGAAGAGTCCAAAGTTCATATAAATCCTACACTAGAACCTTATTTTCCAATGTGGGAATCCAAGTCAGATACCTTACAACTGGATCGTAACAGAATATCACTAAGAGGAAATGGCCTTTCTATAAACATCAAGACTCTTACTCTCATATACTAGTATATGATGCTAGCAAGATAATTTACCATCTGTTTCAAACTCAACTATGTCATAAGTGTGAAGCCTATGTATCTATAACAAGCAATTTGTGTTAATTCTATTATGTATTGCAGTCCAAACAAAAGTCCTGGACCTTAGAAGGAACTTTGGATTTCCAAATGGATTTGTGAAAAGGAAACTTTGAATGCTGGGGGATGAGTTACCACTTGGAAGTTGGAATAGGAATTTGAAAGAAAAAACTCCACAGTAATCTAATGTCTAAATTATCCTATCACAGCTTATATACCTTACTGTAGAGAGTACTAAAAAATTGCTCCCCATGAAACCCTGATATGCGAGGGTAGAGGTGAGGAAAATCCTTCTACACAACCCTATCCTTGCATTTTGGCAAAGAGGCTCTTGTTTACTGGATTCGAACTCGAACCCGTAACATCCAATCACATAAAAGCAATTTTACCACTACTCTTGACTCGCCCTCTCTCTTAATGTAGAGTGTACTACAAGAGACAAAATTCCTAACATTTAAACAATTTTGTAAGATATCAAATTTCTTTTTCCTTGTCTGCGCACGTGAGTAACAAATGGGAATCCATCATTTTTATTTATTTTGTTCTTTTGTTCTTTTTATTTTATTTTATTTTTCTTGTGATAAATAAGGAAATCCAACATTGAACTATTAAAAATATTCCATAAGAATGCAGAAAATAACAGCTTCATCCCAGAAACAATTATTACAAAAATGTAAAGCATCTAGAAACAAGAATTTTGCATCAAAAATAAAGTTTATTCACGCACCACTAATCTACGTGGGGTGCCAAAAACTTGCACTTCCCCATGCTTTAGCCTCTGCCGTTCAAGTAATTGCAACATTAAATCTCTCAGCTACAATAACCAGCAGAATAAAATCAATATTGAACGATGACGGAGAATACTAATATTTTAATTTTAAAAAAATAATGGGGGATATAAGAATGAAGATCTTGTGAATGATTGAAAAAAGTTTATGTGACAAAAAGAGAAAGAAGACACTTGAAATCCAAAACAGAAAATTGAAAAAAGGGGAAAATGTATTTGTCAATAGAAGAGAAGTCCCACAAGCAATAAATTGGAGGTAAAAAATTTCATTAATTTTTTTTTTGAGTATCTAAAATTTCATTATTTTAATCAGATGAAAAAGTTATACTTGCTTGCATGCATCAACAACATCTTGAGGTGGCATCTCCTCAGTTCCAATTTCAAGAACAAATGCTCTTGAATGATCATGCACCTGTAACCAAAGAAAGGATAGAATTTTACACTAATTGATAAATAAATTCACACACAATAATCAATAAATAAAGTCGTATACAAGTTAAACATGAACACGATTCATCTTTAAAAATAATATAATTCTTATTGTCAATATTTTACTTGAGGGAGGAATAGCTCATAAATCTTGTCTATAAGTTTGTGTTGAATTAAAAGTCAAACAAACTACATCCAACAATTGTAACTGTTGAGAAATATAGTCCCACATTGGTTGTATGGGCAACTAATGTGAGGTTTATAAGGCCTTGGGCACTCCCACCCTTTGAGCTAGCTTTTGGGGTGGTGTATCCCAAAGTTCTTAACATGGTATCAGAGCGTTCGAAATCTCACCGCCTTTGTAGTGGAATTTCCACATGTAGGTGGGCTTGTATGTTATCCACCCTTCAAGCCCAGTGGGCTCTCGTGTGAGGGGGCGTGTTGAGAAATATAGTCTCACATTGGTTGTATGGGCAACTAATGTGAGGTTTATAAGGCCTTGAGCACTCCCACCCTTTGAGCTAGCTTTTGGGGTGATGACCTTAAGGTTCTTAACAGTAACATCAAATCCAAGATGCCAATGTTCTTTGAAGCAAGGATACCTGTAAATGGTTAAAACATTGCTATTGGATATGTCAGGAAGTCAGTATTGCTAAGCTTCCAATTCGTCCCAAACTCACAATATCAATCCAGGAAGCATTGGGCTATTTTCTAAAAAAAAAATTATGATTCTGAGCATAGTTTGGGGCAATGTTTAAGATGGCTTTATATTGCTTGAACTCACCTGTAACATCCTCATAGCTTTCTTTATTCCTTATTCTGATTGAAAGAACTACATTAGTTATTGCCCTTTCAACAGACCATCCAAAACGTAAACAGTCTAATAGTAACCTGCATCCTCTTTATACTTTTCTTAGTTATGAATGTTGTTTTTCGTAGCTGTTTACCTTTGTTTTGAGTTTTTCCTCTATTTCCATTCCAAAAACCACAAGTGAAGCTCTATCCAATCCAGGCTAGCACCAAGCAATGAGCAATCATAAATTAGACATCTACCCAACATTTTAATGGCACATAGGATCTGGTTTCTAAACTGGTTGGCAAATTTACACTTGGCTGTTGGTGGGTGTTTACTGAATTACAGTCAAAGTTGGTCCCATGGTTCCATTAATCAATCACAATCTTTGTTTGGGTTGAAGCAGTCTCCTCAAGCCAGGTTTAAATGCTTCAAAACTATAGTTCAAGCCTTTGCAGCAGTAGTAGTAAACTAAAACTTGACCTAGATTAGTAGTATAATTAGATTTAGTTCTTTGTATTATAACACAGTAAACAATTTAGTACAATCCCTCTGTTTGGGATAAAGGTGTTATTGATGTTAATGTTGAAACAATTTAGTATAATCCCTCTGTTTTCAGGTACACCGAAAGACACAAAACCATTACCTATGTATGTATCTAGAAGAAATATTTCTGTTTGTAAAACCTTAAACACCATCATCAAATATTCACCAAATTTTGTAAAGATGCTAACAGTACAATCATGTTTCATCTATTGATATAGTGATTTTGATCTCCAAGAAGTTCATTCCTACCAAAAAATCTAATTAAATCAGCATTAATATCATATCAACTGTTTCCAATCATGCAGCCATGACTTAAATATCACCAGAAGAAAGCCACAAAAGAACTGCATTATTTGTTGTTAGAGGATTTTTGTGATAAATATGTTAAAATTGCTTTGCTAGTATTAATTCATGTCAAGCATCAATTCTTGTAAAAGCTTAAGCTATTAGATGAAAACCCAAGAATAGTTTCATATCACTGACATAAACCTCATGCCAATAGCCCTTTGGGCTTGCAGCATTCCTTGTGCAAAAATTTAATCGTAAAGTGTGAAAGAAGAAAAGATTGATGAAATGCAAATAAAACTGTTTGGATTGAGTTCCAAACAGACTGCTACCTGTAACTATCTCTTAACAGTTTCTAACATATAACTATCTCTAACAGTTTCTAACAGAATTAGTTCAGATTCTAGATCTACTTCTGTACTATAAATATTCAACTCACTGCACAAACAAAACGGGAGAATGTATTTTCAGTTTCAGGGTTTACGGTACTCTGTTTTGTTGTAAATATGAAAAATATTTGTACTAATTTGTTTCTTTTATCAGCCCGATTGTTTCCTTTATAAGTCAAATTGTATTCTAGGATTTGGGTTTAGTTCTTTAGACCCATTAGCTTCTCTATAAATAAGTACCCATTGTATGTTTCCTACACAATAGATTAATAATATTTCAGTTTGTTCTTTTCAACTGTTTTCTCTCTCTTCACACACATTCTCACTTTCTCTCAACTCTCTCTTCGTATTTCCTTGTTTTTCACACTAGTTGTCAATAGCAGTTAGCGGCCGGTAGCGGTCGACCCCGAAAACGGTATAGCGGTGTAGCGGTATTACGGCTACGGTGAAGTATTAATTCCACATATATTATACTAACAGTCAAGAAACGAGGCAATACCGCTTTTAGTATTAATGCTCAAACATAAGAAGTCACACAAAATCAAACACATAATTCCACAATCAATGTCAAATACAAGGAACAAAAAGGAAGGATCCAAAATTAAACACAATTGAACAATAAAATTGTCAAATAGTCAAGTACAAGAAGTGAACTAATAAAGAAAATCATCATCGTCTCCGGATTCTCCATCAAATTCCAACGTGGGAGTGGGGTAGCGGGTAGAGGTATTGCTGCTACGCTATGCCGCTACCTTCCGTTACGGCCAATGTCGCGTAGCGTCGCGGTTTGTAGCGGCCGACCGCCGCTACTCGCTACGGTAGCGGTTTAGCGGCCCGTAACCTAATTCACACATACATTTTCTACAAGCAGAAAAAGCATATCCAAAGCAAAACAACTGCCTAAATACTAGCAATATCAAAATTTAAGCCAAGATAAAGTGACTCGATTGATCCACATGTGCAAACTTACCTTTTCACATGCAACCTCCACAACTTCTTTTGGCAAATCAAAATGATCAGTTTCAGAGATGGAGCCAAGGGGGAAGCCAAGCATCTCCCTAGTCTTCAACCAAAGTTGTGCACACTGGCGAGCTAAACTGAAAAAAACCAAGATGAAGGAAAAGATAATGAAATGCAAAAATCCAAGAGAAGGGATCGTAAGTGCTGACAAAATAAATAATATACTAATGTAATCAAAAGTATATGAAAATCCTTAAACAACCTCAAAGAAATACCAGATCAAAAGAGTTACTTTGTATAGAGATGCCCAAACTTGATGATTGTTAGGCTCCGTTTGTGAGTGTATTATATTAGAGAATTAGGTGGAGCAGCACAAATATGTTAGGAAGCCACCTATTACTAAGGTGTATATTAGGAAGGAGCACAGAGTATCCAGGTTTTTCAGGGAGGGAATGGTTGATGTAACAGATTGCAATAGAGCCAATCAAGGGGAACTGAGATCTAAAGAGAGGGAATAGTTAAGTAATAGATTGCCAGTGAGGCAATCAAGGGGAATTGGGAGGGAAAGTTTGATCTGTACGCACATAAAAAGGAGAGGGAAGAAGCTAGGTGGTGAAGTGTAGAAGAGTGAGGAAGAGTGCAGAGTCTCTCGAATATCCTGTTTAACCTATTTCCGATTCAGTTCTTCATCTTCCATTGTAAATCCACCATGCACATACTAATATCAAATGTTGTTAAAACGTAGAGTCTATGAAAAAACGGTAGGGGTGAGCAAAAACGTAAAATCGCAAAACGTAAACGAAACGTAAAAGTTTACTAACGTATTAAAAATAAAATATATATCCAACATATATAATACCAAAACCCACAAACATGTTTATTTTATAAGAATGTCAATTTTAATCTTTGTTTTAATTTATATAGAATAATTTTAATATATTAATTATATAAGTTATTAAATTTAAGCTAATTAATGACTAAAAATATATATAATTTTTTTATTATTACGTGTTTTATATATATATATATATATATATATATATATATATATATATATATATTTGAACTATGCAAAAACAAATCCATATTACGTTTCGACATTACGTTTGAACCGTTTCGACTCAAAACCCGTTTCAACTACCGTTTTGACTCGATTTTGGTCATAAAAACATAGACACGGTCCATTTTTACGTTTCGACACTACGTTTTTACAACACTGCTAATATCACACTAATATCAGTATCAACAGAAGAATATTACAATAGATAGTGTGATTTGATCCCGTTTCCACGAAAATCGTTAAAGCCCAGATAATAAATCACCAAAGACACACTAACATAGTAATACTATCTTTCAATCAATGTTATTAATTTTAAAGACAAGACAAATTTTAAAGACAAGAGAAATGGCTTAATGTTATGGAATCCTGTATTTCCAAATCTGATTGACATGTGAGGAAAGTTTTGCACTAGGAAACTTGACAAAAATGTCAAGAACAGAATTGCATAACAATTTAATGTCCAAAACCTGCTATCAGAAAACCAAGACAGACTAAAAGAGCATCAGTATGCTTCTGTACTCACAGTTCCAAATTTTCAAAAACCTTTATTCTGGAAACTGATGCTTCCAGTAAAGGGTTGGGGGCTGGTCTGTCACAAGAAGGGAGGCCAGTGATTTTATTCAGTCAAGGGTTCTGATTTCAGAAGAGTGAAGGGAAAAGAGAGACAGGACTCTAGAATATCCTGGTATGAGATAACAATTCTCTGTTACCATCATTTTATTGTATCTCTTCATCTTTGAGCTTGTATCCCATTGATACAGGTTCAAAGGTAGAGGAATTTTATCAATAATATTATGTTTTCTTTCCTAAATTCTGATCCATTTTTATTACAATTGCACAAGAATACCACAGATTGTCATGTTAAAGATAAGAGCTGAGAACACAATATTACCAATGTACCCAACTTTTGATTTGAGAGATTTTCACAGGACAATATCATGATAAATCTCAAGGAATAATTCTCAATCATGATTAAGATTTTATCAAACTATCGAAGTAATGCAATTACAAAGAGCTCCTTAATGTACTCGAGTTACCAGTTGGGCAACAAGCATTACCTACGCATGCGACCAAAATATCGAGCGCGCTCTGTTACTCCAACAAAGCCTCTAGAGTCTAAGATATTAAAAGCATGAGATGTTTTCAGAAGCTGATCATACCTAGCATGCAGTAATAAAACATCCATCAGAAATAAAGACAGCGAAGAAACATAAAGCATTTTGAACAGCCGATAAGGGTAAGAATAACAGAAAAATAAAATGCCATAAACATACGCAGGGATTGCAAGGCCTGAAGAAAGTAAACAACGAGCTTCCTCCTCAAAGAAATCAAAATGTTTTTGGACACGATCAACACTGGCATGCTCCAAGTAATATGCACTCATTTCCTTTCTAGAATACAAAAAACAAAATATTATCACCATAAACAGACAATGCAGTCAAGATTAGCACAACACAAATAAGAGACCCATAGCATTAAGAATTTAAGAGTGAATACCCTTTTTGGTCCTCAACAAATTTTACGATGCCCGTTTTAGTCCCTAGCAAATAAAAAGGTCCATCGTGGTCCCTAAAAAATTCAAAATGGACTCATTTTAGTCATTTTAGGGACTAATATGGATCTTTTTTGAATTTGTGAGGGACCACAATTCTAAATGGGTCTATTTTGAATTTCTTAGGGACCACGATGGGCCTTTTTATTTGCTAGGGACTAAAACGGGCATCGTAAAATTTGCTGAGGACCAAAAAAGGTATATACTCAGAATTTAATGAAAGTTCTGCAACTACAGACCATGCCCTAAAGATGTTGAGATTTGCATATCATAACAATCATTTCAATTGACATCATTATGTGACATAACAAGCTTCATATTGAAATATCATATAATTGAGCATTACTTCAAATTTCAAGCTTTCACAAATGGAGATATAATAAAATGAACCAAATCAACTGCAACAAAGTGTATGAGCAGCGCAAAACAGATATGGAACAAAAAAACACATTTTGCACATTAAAGTAAAAATCACGTGTTAAGAACATCATTCTTGGAAGCTTGAGTGTGACAGTTGTTTAAATGTGATATTTTTTATTTATAAAAATACATAGTTATCAATGACAGGTAGGAAAACTATTACAAGGGAGGAGGATAAGATATCCTCATAAATGCAGAAACAAGAAGAAAACAGGCCTTAAAACCTATTCCTTAGCTAGCCATTGGGTGTACCATCACACCAAATATTCTTGGGTGATAGAAAATTATATTATAGGATATCCCAGTGAACATATTTATAATTTAGGATAGACAAACTACTAGAATGGTTAATAAAGTCAACATAGCAAATTTAACTACTCTTTACATTAATTATCCTACATTATAATTGTCTAGTACCACCATCTGCTTTGGGGTGTACTCGATGGCTGATAAGCTACTTGTATCTGTCCCCAATTTTTTCTGACATAAGCTCGTCACATTTTGTGATGCTACACATAATTTCCAAAGGCTAAAGTCTACTTAACCGCTACCACAGTTTTCATTATTTTCATCTCTGAGTCAGTTACTCAGTTTCTCTTTTAATATTCCTGTATCTTGTTAAATTCTTTGGCATATGCTGTTTCACACCAAGGCATTTGTATTCATCCACTGTACAAGCAAAACTTTGATTTGTTTCAGTGAAAAATGAAATAATTAAGATGAGGAATAAAAAAGAGGAGGTGCAATACAGTTCATTCCATTCAGCTTTAGTTATCACTTTCATTCCTCTCTTCAGCCTTTTTCATGAACTACAGGTCTCTTAACCTAATGTGTTAAATTTTGTTTTGCTTGCTTTCCAGTACTTTGGTTGTCTCGCAAGGATGTCTTGTCCTTAACTGAACTCTCCTTTCAAATAATGAACTCTTTATGAAATGAAACTAATTGCTTGCTTTACAGTACTTTAGTGGCCTTTTTTTAGCTTTCCTAGTCCTTCTCTGTACGCTCCTTTCATTTCGAGCCAAGAGAACAGCCATCAAATCATAAGTGTTTTTGTCTTGTTAAAAAAATTGTGTTATAAAAGTATATGCAAAATAGAAGAAAAAGGGTAACATTCTTGATGATAACTCCAAACAATATTTCACCACAAAGAAAATAAAATAAAATGCAATTCAAAAAACAGCAGTCAGAGTAATCAAGTACTCATTCTCCAAGAACAGCTCTCCATATGTGATTCCATCAGAATATTTGATCTTCTTAAAGTGATCAACTCCCTGTCACAAAATTTATGAAACTTTTCTGAAGTTATTTAATGGGTGATAGAGATTGAGTGAAGAAAAAGGAATATTAGCCAACAGACCTGCAGTAACATGAGGATACGCTCAAGGCCATAAGTGATTTCTACAGATACAGGTGATAACTGTAGACTTCCAGCCTGGAGGGGGAGAGAGATGAGACCATGAAAGTAAATGGTACAATAAAGAACCACTCAAAAGGGCTTCTTTATTTTCAGCAAAAGATCAGCACTCAAAAGGATGCAAGTAAAAAAGTGATCAACAGCACCTTTTGTTGAGAAATATAGTCCCACATTGGTTGTATGGGCAACTAATGTGAAGTTTATAAAGTTTTGGGCACTCCCACCCTTTGAGCTAGCTTTTGGGGTGGTGTATCCCAAGGTTCTTAACATGGTATCAGAGCGTTCGAAATCTCACCGCCTCCCACTTTCTTTGTAGTGGAATTTCCACATGTAGAAGGGCTTGTATGTTGTCCACTCTTCAAGCCCAGTGGGCTCTCATGTGAGGGGGCGTGTTGAGAAATATAGTCCCACATTGGTTGTATGGGCAACTAATGTGATGTTTATAAGGCCTTAGACACTCTCACCCTTTGAGCTAGCTTTTGGGGCAACTAATGTGGCCAGGCCTTGAGCACTCCCACCCTTTGAGCTAGCTTTTGGGGTGGTGTATTCCAAGGTTCTTAACATGGTATCCCAGCAGCCACACCATGTAAAGAACCTTGGGATACACCACCCCAAAAGCTGACTCAAAGGGTGGGAGTGCCCAAAACTTTATAAACTCCACATTAGTTGCTCATACAACCAATGTGGGACTATATATCTCAACACACCCCCTCACAAAAGAGCTCATTGGGCTAGAAGAGTGGACAATGCAACAGGCCCAACCTACCCATGCTAAGAAACTCCACAAGAGAAAGTGGGCGGCGGCGAGGCTCTGATATCATGTAAAGAACCTTGGAATACATCACCCCAAAAGCTAGCTCAAAGGGTGGGAGTGCTCAAGGCCTGGCCACATTAGTTGCCCCAAAAGCTAGCTCAAAGGGTGAGAGTGTCCAAGGCCTTATAAACATCACATTAGTTGCCCATACAACCAATGTGGGACTATATTTCTCAACACCACCCAAGCTAATTGGGGTTAGTGGTAGATGAATCCAACAATAAATAAGAGGAGATTAAAAAATAAATAAAAATAAAAATAAAAATAAAAATAAATAAATAAATAAAAATAAAAAAGTGATGGTACATAAAAAAAATCCCGCTGTTTTCTTTTTTTATTATGGAAAAAGCTCCCATGTCTGTAAAGCAGGATATTTTGTTCTTTACCTGTTGTAATTTTTTCTTCTCCCCGAAAATTTTTCTTCTCCATTAAAAATAATAATAATTCGCTCTAAGCAACAAAACATACCTGCTGAAAGTAGGTGAACTGAGTAATCTCCATCCCATCCATCCAGATTTCCCAGCCCAAACCCCAAGCACCAAGAACCTATATGCATTTTCAATTAGTATAAAGATAGGGAGATGACAATTTTACCAGTATGAGATTTAAAAGACAAAATGTTTCAATTGCATTTCTGCAAGCAGCATTAAAATAACTATAAACCAAAACAATAAATATTACCGGACTCTCCCAGTTGTCCTCCACAAACCGTATATCATGTGCAGTCACATCAATACCTATCACATAAATGAACTCCACAAGTTCAGACCCAGGATTTTAAAATCAGGAAATATAAAAAATAAGGTACAGTAAGAACTGCACAAACTTCTTGAGTTTTTTCCCCATTTTGAATAACTAATTAAACTAAACTTCTTAAACGTTTTTTGCTATGGTCAAGGTATACCAGTAACTTAGTCACAACTTTCAAAGGGAGTAAGGTGTGAGGCAGGGAGACCCTTATCGCCTTTTTTGCGTATTTTGGTGGATGATGCTTTGAGCAACTTGTTAAGGAAAGGTTGCAAGCAAGGTTTGAACAGAGGTCAATCACTAGGTGGGATTGGAGAGCGTGGAGGTGTCTAATTTGCAGTTTGCAGATTATAATTCTCTTTTCCTTGCTGAAGACATGAATATTTTAGAAATATCTGGTCTTTTTTTTAATGTTTTTGAGGTTGTTTCTGGTCTTTGTAGAAAGTTGGCTAAGAGTGGTCTCCCGAGTTTTAATGCCGATGGCAGAGTTTAGAGCCTTTAGCTCATATGGCTAACACAATGATATGAAAACCAAACCGGTGCTTAAACCAGTAAGGGGAGGGGCTTAAGGTTCTGACTTTTGTACATAGAACATACATTTACAGCTACAGATATATGACAATCTGTTAAAATAAATATCATATATATGTTAAGTATGTAAGTCAAATCATGTAGAAACATTGGCATATATCTCTAATAGGATCAAATTGCTTTGTGACACATAAAATAGATCAAGATATCACAGAACACTACAGCCATAAAATATATCTCTAATACTATTAAATTGCTTCATTACCACATTTTGCAATATGCAAATACACATAAGAGGCTTATGAGGAACAAAATCTTTGACCAATGGTAGAGTCAATAGGACAAAAGATAAGCAAATGCATATCTGTACATTCTTCCAATTCCTTTGAAATCACCCACCGCCCACCTTAGACTATTAATGATGCTAATGCTATTTGGTTTGATTCAAATGCATCAAGAAATCTAGTCATTCATGCTTTCTTTCCTAAAATAGCAGTTACTAGTTTTCAAATCAGCAGAACATGTTTTAGATCCCCAAGAAAGACACAATTTGTGGCCATTAAATCCAAAACAAAGGAGAAGATTAATTCTCTATTTCTTATTTCTAATCCCCAGCTCCACAAAATTTAGCTTTAGCTAATTCTTTTTGTAAGGTCAAATGCCCCCTCAAAGTTACGAGTTACAGCCTTTGTTTAACAGTGGTGCTTGATAGGATTAATGCAAATGGCCAGGCCATTTCTCCCAAGGCTTGCTTCATGTCCTTCTAAAGTTCTGAAACAAATAGCCACCTCTTTTCACGTTGGGAGGTAGCATGGCAGCTTTGGTGTCAGCTGTTTGTAGGTTGTTGGAGATACTCATCTGAACTGAATTTTTTTTACTACTCATTATCACAGTTTTAGGAGTAGAAAAGATATAAAATTCTTTTGCAGGAGATTGTTCAATTATGCTGAAGTGTAAATCCAGAATTTCTAGCAATAATTCTACCAGCACAACTTTAAAGGGACAGGCTAGTCTTCTTAGTTTCAATTGAATCTGAAATATATTGTATATTCAAGTGTATAAGTCTGTACAAGGAGGCTCTCTATTTATAGAGACTAAAAAGACCTAATGGGATGACCTAATGGGCCAAGCCCACAATCTAGACTATTCTAGACTATTCTAATAATAATAAAATAATATTATTTCTAACACTCCCCCTCAAGCTGGTGCGTATATATCAAAAGCTCCCAGCTTGTTACAAATATGATCTATTCGGGGACCTCTAAGAGCTTTAATGAATACATCCGCAAGTTGATCATTGGAATTGACAAATGCTGTCTCGATCTCCCTTGACTGGATCTTTTCTCTAACAAAATGACAGTCAATTTCTATATGCTTGGTCCTCTCATGAAAGACTGGGTTAGAGGATATATGCAAAGCGGCTTGGTTGTCACAAATGAGCTTCATAGGCCTTTGTTCACAGAGATGGAGTTCCTTCAGCAATTGTCTCAGCCAGATGAGCTCACAGGTTGCATTTGCCATTGCCCGATATTCTGCCTCCGCACTGGATCTGGCGACCACAGTTTGCTTCTTACTCTTCCAAGAGATCAAATTTCCTCCGAAAAGAACACAATACCCTGAGGTGGATCGTCTATCTGAAGGAGAACCTGCCCAGTCAGCATCTGAATAACTAGAGATCTCTGAACTCCCTTAATTTGTATATAATAAACCTCTTCCTGGCGCCTTTTTAATATATCGGAGAATTCTAATAACTGCATCCCAATGGGAGTCACAGGGAGAATCAAGAAATTGACTTGCAACACTCACTGCGAAGGAGATATCTGGCCTTGTCACAGTAAGATAATTCAATTTTCCAACTAGTCGGCGGTAGCGACTAGGATCTGGCAGTGGCTCCCCCTGTCCTGGTAATAACTTAACATTGGGGTCCATAGGTGTATCAATGGGTTTACAGCCTAACATTCCAGTCTCATCTAGGATATCCAGTGCATACTTCCTCTGACAGATGGAAATGCCCCGCCTAGACTGTGCAACTTCGATCCCCAAGAAATATCGAAGTCTGCCAAGATCTTTGGTCTGAAATTGATTGAATAAATGCTCTTTCAACTGATCAATCCCGATCTGATCACTGCCTGTAATGATAATGTCATCAACATAGACCAGGAGATAAACGCACTGGCCAGAAGAGCTATGCCGGTAAAAGACAGAATGATCAGCTTTGCTTCTGATTAAGCCAAAGGATTCAACAACTGAACTAAAGCGGCTAAACCAGGCCTGAGGAGATTGCTTCAGGCCATATAAAGATTTTCGAAGTTTACATATCATTCCAGAATTCTCCCCCTGAGCAACAAAACCTGGTGGTTGCTCCATATAAACTTCTTCCTGCAAGTCACCATGTAGAAAAGCATTCTTAATATCAAGTTGGAGAAGAGGCCAGTGATGAATGGCGGCAAGGGCAAGAAACAGGCGAACAGAAGCCATCTTAGCAACAGGAGAAAAGGTATCCCCATAATCAAGACCAAAGATCTGTGTGTATCCCTTGGCCACTAAGCGAGCTTTAAGGCGATCAACAGTGCCATCAGGACCAACTTTAACTGTGAACACCCATCGACAACCAACAACAGACTTCCCGGGAGGAGCACGAACAAGATCCCAAGTGCCATTAGAGTGAAGTGCCTGCATTTCATCAAGCATCGCCTGGCGCCACCCTGGATGAGATAGTGCTTCACCTGTGGTTTTAGGGATGGAAACAGAAGAGAGACTAGAAACAAAAGTAAAATGTTGTGAAGAAAGTCTGTCATAACTCAAGAAAGAATAAAGGGGATGAGGATTTCGAGTGGATCGAATACCTTTCCGAAGGGCAATGGGAGGAGTCTCTGATGGAGGATCCGGAGGAGAAGAGCCGACGGGAAAGGGCGACGAGTCATCAAGAGGCAAAGTCGGAGGAGGTGCAGGCTGACGACGCTGGTATGTGAGGAGAGGACGATCAGCAGGTATGGAGGTAATTGGTTGCTCCTCTGGAATAGGGGCACCTGCAGCTGGTAAAGACAAGTCAAGAAAAGGAACAGGAAGGACCTGATCAACTTGTGACACTGGAGACAGAGTAGAGTGAAAAGGCTGCTGATCAAGGAAAGTGACATCAGCAGAAACGATATAACGCTTGAGATCAGGTGAATAGCAACGATACCCTTTTTGAAAACGGGTATACCCAAGGAAAATACATTTGAAGGCCTTGGATGTCAACTTGTCTTTACCTGGAGTAAGATCATGAACAAAACAAGTACAGCCAAAAATATGTAAAGGCAGAGGATAAGAAGGTGCTCCGGAAAACAAAATACTGTGGGGAACATCATTATTTAGCACAGAAGAGGGCATGCGGTTGATAAGGAAACATGAGGTGATAATAGCATCTGCCCAAAAACGAAGTGGGACGTTCATATGAAAGAGAAGAGTACGTGCAGTTTCAACTAGATGTCTATTTTTACGTTCAGCGACTCCATTTTGTTGTGGAGTGTGGGGACAAGTAGTCTGGTGTATCGTCCCATGTGTATCCAAAAATTTAGAAAATTCAAGAGACACATACTCTTTTGCATTATCACTGCGCAAGATTTGAATAGAAGCACCAAATTGAGTTTTTATTTCTGCATAAAACTTTTGATAAATTGAAAATAACTCAGAACGATTTTTCATTAAATAAACCCAAGTGCAACGGGAAAAATCATCAATAAAGATTACAAAATACTGAAAACCCAAAACTGACATAGTCCGACTCGGACCCCAAATATCAGAATGAACAATAGAAAAGGGAGCAGCAGCTCTTTTATTGACTCTACTAGCAAAGGAAGAACGAGTATGCTTTCCCTGCTGACAAGACTGACAATTCAAAGACTTAAGACCTGACAAAAAAGGAACCATATGCTGAAGCTTCGAGAGACTTGGATGACCCAGACGGCTATGGAGAAGCTCAGGAGACTCTGTGAGAGAGCATGCAACTGGAGCAGAGGGTGCATGCAGATAGTAGAGACCTCGTGACTCACCGCCCGCTCCAATCGTCTTCCCCGTACCCAGATCCTGCATAGAAAAAGACTGTTTAGAAAAGGTGATAGAGCAAGAAAGAGAATGGGTCAATTGACTAACAGAAATTAAATTAAAAGGAATGCCAGGGATGTAATAAACAGAGGTTAAAGTCAAGAAGGGAGTTGGTTTGGCTTGCCCAATGCCACGAGCAGGAGCCTTGGTGCCATCAGCAAGAGTAACAGAGGGAAGATTATTAGAAAAGGTAAGGGAAGTAAAAAGATCCTTATTACCACAAAGATGATCAGTAGCACCTGAGTCTATTATCCAGGGTCCAAGAGACGATTGAGAAAAACAAGCAACATGATTACCAGTATCTGGAGCAGGTGGCTGAGAAGAACTCTTCTGGAGAAGGGCCTCATAGTCTGCAGCGGAAATAGTCACTGATCCGGTAGAGGGCGGCACAACATCTGTTTGAGCAAAGTTCATATGTGGTGGCTTCAAGTGAGGGTACTTTCTATAACAACGTTCTTCAATGTGGCCCAGATATTGGCAATAATTACACCGAGGCCTTTGTCCTCGGCCACCCTGTCCATACGACATCGTCTGTCCGCGCCCGCCTGGGCCATATGAAGTCATGGGCCCGCGACCGCCTTGTCCGCGGCCACGACCACGACCGCGTCCACCATTGTTCCAATTACCACGAGAGACTAAAGCAGCAGAATCAGACAAGAGAGCAGTAGAGTCAGTAGCTGTGACGTGTGCGGGAGCCACCTTATCTTGAAGATTCAGAAGGCGCTGAAAGGTCTGGGATATGCTGGGAATCGCAGTACTGGTTAGAATGTTCTCACGAACACTTTCTAATCCGTCAGGGAGACCAGAGAGAGTCACAACCGTAAAGAGACGCTCCACTTGCGTCTTGTACACTGTAGCATCCGCAGCATGAGGTAACATAGCCAAAAATTCCTGCATCAAAGAACGAATCTTACCAACATAAACTTCCATACGAGCTTCGGGTGATTTGCGCAAATCCATCATCTGGGAGACAATGGAATAAAGTTGTTGAATATCATTGGTGTAGAGGATTTTGGCTTCCGTCCACACATCATAGCAGGTCTCAAAAGGAATGAAAATATTGAGAAGAGATGAATCAATGGATTGCCAAAGAATACTGAGGAGCTGAGCATCAACTTTCTCCCATTCAGTCATCTGATCTTGGGAAATATTAGTCTTCTTAGTGGTGAGATGTTTGTCATGGCCTTGACCGGTAAACCAGATCTTAACGGAGGTAGACCAGGTCTTGTAAGTGGCAGATCCGGTCAATTTCAGAGTTGTGATAGATGGAATAGCACTTGAAATGATGCCGGAAGAATGTTTACTGGTTCCTTCCATCAGGAACAGCGATCAGACAACCAAAAAAACTGTAAAAATTACGCGAAAAAGGAACAAAGTAGCGACTTTTGCACTGGAAACCCTCGAACGGAAGAGACCCACAACGATCGGTCACTGGATCTGGAAGGAGGAGGCAGAGGCGAGCCTGTCTGCCTTGGTTTGGTCGGAAAAGGTGGCCGGAACAGTGCACACGCGCCGGAGAGAGGTGGCGCGTGAGGCCCACGCGCAGACAGCTGTGGTGGCGCGTGGAGGCGCGTGCGGCGGCCGTTTGGGACGGGTCTTGGACAGAAATGGTCGCCGGCGTGAGGGGATCCTGATCGCGTGGTTTCTCGCCTGAAAGGTGGCCGGAACAGTGATGAACAGTGACGGAACAGTGTTTCTGGCGATGTGAACAGTGTTTTCTGGTCAAATAATGAAGGAGGATGACGATCTGAGATCGAAAAGGGTCTAACAATGTTCGGAGGGTTGAAAAAGGTTGCCGGTATGATGCACGGCGGTAAAAAGGTTTGCCGGTATGATGCACGGCAGTACAACGAAAGGAAAAAATTTATATGCGGAAGTAGAGCCCTCAGATCGAGAGCTCTGATACCAAATTGAATCTGAAATATATTGTATATTCAAGTGTATAAGTCTGTACAAGGAGACTCTCTATTTATAGAGACTAAAAAGACCTAATGGGATGACCTAATGGGCCAAGCCCACAATCTAGACTATTCTAATAATAATAAAATAATATTATTTCTAACAGTTTCATTGTGAGTTTCTGCTCATGGTTTCTATCATTTCCTAATGAATTCTATCTAAGAAACAAGTTTATATAAAAGTAGTCAATGACTCCCATGGATACGGCATGCATTATCAACTATTATAGCTTATTCTACTTTCCACCCCAAGTGTATCTTATATCAGCTCAGATACTCAAAACATCAATGATCAATGTTGAAACAGAAAGTATTTGGGAGAAATTGTGCGTCATGTTTACACACAGTCTATCTCATTTATACTTGGTGCATCAAGTACAAGAGCTAATTAGTCATTACTGAGCTAATCAACAGCAATTAACTGCAGTGATAACTATAGTTGACTAATATTATAACAAGTTTTAAAAATGCTAATGAATCTATACTAGTATTCTAACTGTCAATAACCATCAACAACCCCTAACTCCCAAACCAATCATCCCTTCTGATCTAAACTCTTAATACCCAAATGCTTGGAAAACCAAATAGGAGGTCACCTATAGTATATACATTGAAGATGCCAAAGACATATCACAGAGACAATTAGATTCTGTGCACTCTACAACCTTGAGCAATTGAAATAACTTATAAATCATCAACCAGAATCCATCATTCTGTTCTGTCAAATAACCAATTCTCCCAAAAGCTTAAGCTATTAGGTGAAGGCATATGAATGATTTTATATTTCTATTATATTTCTAACACGCCCCTTCTCACAAAAGCTTGTTTGGCTTGAAGAGTGGACAATGTAAAGGCCCACTTACTTATGCTAAAAAATTTCACAATTAAATATTTATCAGAAGAATAAGGTCAACAAGGACCGAACTCTAGACCATGTGGTCATAGAGGCTATGATAATATGTCAAACAGCCAAATCTCCCAAAACCTAAGCTATTAGGTGAAAGCAGATGAATGGTTTTATATTTATATTATATTTCTAACATGTTCCAACCAAAGTTTCTGTAAAGAACCAATTCAACCCAAAAGCTTAAGTTGTTGGGTGAGGGCCCTTTTAATGGTTTATATAATTCTCTAACACACCCCCTCACAAGAAAGCCCATTGGGCTTGAAGTGTGGACAATACATAGGTCCACCTACCTGTGCTAAGAAAGAAATTCCACTAGAAAGAAAGTGGGGGGCGGTGAGGATCGAACCCGATACACGAGGCTCTGATACCATGTAAAGAACCAATTCAACCCAAAAGCTTAAGCTATTGGGTGAGGATCATTTTAATGGTTTATATTATTCTCTAACAGCTTCTAAGTTTTCTTAACAGGAAGTTTCATTACTTCTTTTGTAAGATTTCTCTTACATTTTCATGCCATTTTTTTTTGGTGCCCTGAAATGCTCGTAAATCAAAACAATAATAGCAAATGAACAGAATAATTTAGTCTATTTTAGTTAATTCAGAGAATATTAGACCCAGTTAATACCTATCGCTGAAAGGCTGTGGATAAAAAGGTCCTGTGAATTTCCAGGATCAGGCTTCAATATCACCTGAGATCAGAAAGCAACCAAGAATTCAATGATAGAAATGAACACAACATCCTAGAAAAGCAATCTAATAAATTGAAATTATGAATTTGGTCATATTATCAAACTTGACCTGAAATTGAGTGTGTCTTTGGAGCCTATTTGGGTTTTCTCCATATCGACTATCATCAGGGCGGATGCTAGGTTCCACATACCTTTCATCATAAAAGTCAAAAACACCAGGAATTTCAGATCCAAAACCCTCACACTCCTCATTCATCATTTACAAGTAGAGATAACAAAAACTGATAAATAAAATATTAAAAGCAAATAGCATCCACTCAAGTAGGCTTAGAAGCAAAAGTTTTTCTGAGAAAAGAAGCGACCTTCTAAAAGAATACAATTAAAAATAATGGAACTCAGTAACTGGTATCTGCTACAACTTTCTAATCCTACAGGGGGGAAGGACATAACTTTTATATTTTGGAAAATCGATGCATAAACCAATGAACTTACATCTAAAACATACTTACGCAACATTCCATGGTTCTGGACCAAGAACCCTTAAATATGTAAGAGGATTCATAGTCCCAGCTCCAACCTGCTCAATATAGCCAAAAAGAAATATGTACCATAAATAATTATCACATGAGAATGAACTAGTAGCAGACAAAACCAACATGCTAAAAACTTCTTGAAAGCAGCTATTGCAGATCAAAATTAAAAAGACACACCTTTAACAGCACATTAAGAATTTTAAAACAAAATTTTAACACTTGTAACTACTGGCAATAACTCCAGCACATAGAAACCAATATCTAGCCAAGTAAATTGCAACAAACAGTAGGAAAAAAAAAAAGATCACACATTCCCATAAAATATTTTCTTCACATATAATTTAACTTAACAAGGTCCAAGGTTCAAAACTTCGCTTCATACCCTGAAGACAAATCTTAAAATAAAAGAATAATAATAACAACAACAAATTAAAAGACACACGCACATTTTTAATGGCACATTAATAATTTTAAAACAAAATGTTACCACTTGTAACTAGTAGCAATAACTCCAGCACATAGAATCCAATATCTAGCCTAGTACCTTGCAGCATTCAGTAGTAAAAACAAGAAAAAAAGAATCACACATGCCTACAAATATTTTCCTTACATATAATTTAACATGGTCCAAAGTTCAAAACTGGACTTCATATCCTGAAGACTAATTTTAAAAGCAAATAATAATAATAATAACAACAACAACAACAACAATTTTAGAACACAATTGAATGGATCAATGGCAACACAGCAAGTTTAACTACCTCAGTGTTGCTGCATTGCATTATGGAACATCCAACGGAAGCCCAATATTCCTGCAACATCAACATTGAAAGAATTAACCAAAAAAAAATAAAAAATGACCCGTTTGCAATATGATTCTCACAAACTGAATAAAAAAATGGGATGAGGGTGGAGTTGTGAGGACCTGAAGGCGCTGAATTGCTTGCTGGAAGGTGAGGGATGAGGCCTTGTGGGCGTGAATGTTCGGGTTTGTTGAGGAAGAAGAAGAAGAAGAGTGGTGTGAGAGGGAAGGAGGAGGAGGAGTGGTGGCGGCGGAGGCGGCAGTGAATTGGCGGCTGCGGCGGCGGAGGAGGAGTGTGGGGTTGGCGTGGCGGAACAGTGAGAGGCGCGGGGCGTGGGGTTTAAGAACGGAGATGACGAGTGGCAACGCCATGATACCCATCATTGCACACACACTACCCTTATGCTTCTTCCACAAATGGGGGATAAGATAGGGTTTAACCCTTTCAATTTACATACTCAAAATCAAATCAAGGTATATGTTAACGAAAATAGGGGAAGGATATTGTATACTACCAAGTGAAATCATAATAATACAAGGCTGAAAATAAATATAAAGTATTAAATTTGAGAAATCATAATTATACAAATATAGAAATAAATATAACTGTTAGATTAACATAATTGATCTAACAGTGAGATTGATTAGTAGTAACATGGTAGTAACACAACTTGGTTGTTATAATATCCTTCCCCATGAAAATAATAATAATATATTTACTAGGATTCGTTTTTTCTGTAATTATTGCAGATAAGTTATACAGTAAGCTTAATACGACATCATTTTGGGGCCGAAATCATAGTGTTTTTGTAATTTTAATTTATTGCATGATTATTATAGTCTTTATAATTATAATTTCTAATATTTCAATCCCAAAACAACGTCGTTTTAGAAATAAATGCATATAACTTATCTGCAATAACTACATAAAAATCTTTCTGTATTTACTATTTAGAAAATAATTTGATACTGTAAGTAAATATTGATTATTAAAATTTTCCTTTTGTGAATTTCATGATTTTTTTTTTTTTGTAAGTTACTAAAGCAATATTATCATTACCGTCTCGTACTGAGTCGTTGGTTCCATCGGTTGAACTGCATAACCCAGATTAGTATATAAAAACCTATATTTTATATATAAAAATCCATAAAATATTCAAATACATTTAAAAAATCGTTATAATGGGCTACAAGCATACATTCCAGATAAAAAAATAAATAAATATTATTTTCATTTTACATGAGATAGTTATCTCATATTCTTTCACTTCAAAAATTGCACGCCCTCTTTTTTTTTTTTCTTTAATGGTGGGTCCCACTTGGCTTCTCTCTATATCATTAGAGAACTACTCTCATGTAATATAAGAGGAGTATTCCCCTAAAAAAATCATATGTGATAATCACATACAATATAGGGTTATATTTATCTCATTCAACATGAGATAAATCAATTTCCTACACACACATAACAAAGGTGGGTCTCACCTCTATTTTTTCTCTTTCTAATTATGTATGTGTCCCTTTCATAATTTTGTATCACTAACATGAGGTAATCTATCTCCATCAACATAAGAAAAATATTTCCCTACAATATATTGTAGAAGAAATAAACAAAGAAAAAAGAAAATTCAAGTATGAGGTAACATATATAATTCCTCTACCAAGTATCATCAACTAACCATATTTAATAATGAGTTATATTTATCTTATGTTGCATAGGATAAACAAGCTTCCTACACACACAAAGTGGATATGGGTCTCACATCTATTTTTTCTCTCTCCTCTTACATGTGGGTCTCACTTATAAATTTATTTCTATAACATGAGACAATCATTTTCCTACAACATAAGATAAATATAACCCTTTAATAATTATAAGGTATTTACCAATAACTTTTTCCATAAAAATGGAATTATAAGGAATTAATATGTCTCATTCTCTTAATTTACTGTTCCGCAAATTGCTCCAGTCCTGAAAGCTAAAATTTGAGGTTATTGTATGAAAGTATACTACTAGCAAACAAAACTAAAAAAAAAAAATTTAAAAGAGTTCCACACTTTTTTTAAGATAAGATAAGATAATTTTGGTTTTTTTTTATAAAATTACATTACCTGCCAATTTGCATGACCCAATCGAGTCATCAATTTTGACAAGGTCCAATATGTGACCGATTCGATATTTGACTCAAACCGATCTGATCACCGATTCGTCAAGTTCTGAGTTCTGAGTTGACCAGACTGATTTCGGGTCTAATAACACTATAGTAAAGAAATCGAGTTTAATAGATACCCAAGTGTTAAGCAAACATGTCCAAATAAGAAAGGTATTCAATTTGCATTCTCAATGTCATGACTCCCGCCAAGGTTAGAGAGCACGAGCCTAAGTACAAATATTTTTGGATTCTTTATATAATTTTTATTTTATTTTTTTTACCAATTTATTAATTACTGGATTCATTTCATCAAGTCAAGATCATAAAGTTGGCAAATCTCTTCCTACCAAATTTTTAACACTTATTCAGAACTTGAAGTTAAAATCACAAAATAAGATGGAACAATCACATAATATCTTTATGTATAACTTCAGTACTTACAACTTTATTTCGTATTTATAATTTTTTTAACACATTAATTGTATTAAGATTTGAATTTGTAATTTCATATAAATTTTAAAGTCCCATGTTAATATAGCACTCTTAGTGGTTTAATTTACACCTATAATTTCAGCACACGGCTAATAAAGTAAAATTTGCTTTTGCTAGTTATAAATAAGATAAAACGGACTTTCAAAAAAAAGGATAAAACTTGCTTTCTCAATCTATAGATGCGCAGCTATGTGGAAAGAGTATAAACTTTGTCTTGAGTTTTGCTTAGAAGTAAAGGTGACAATTTTCAATACGACCTATTGACACACGAACATAACACGAAAAATTTGTGTTAGGGTTAATCTATTTTTAAATTCTTGTTGTATTTGTGTTGGCAAAAAATAGACATTAAAAAATTTGTGTTGTATCGCGTGTCAACCCTTGAACTCGAATTTGATCCGCTTTAATCTTCTTACATATTATTCGTGTCGTAAACATATTATTTATATCTTATTGTGTCGTGTCAACCCCCATAATAAACAACACACTTTAAGGTTGACAGGTTATTCATGTTGTATTGTGTCAGCCCTCATAATAAGCAACACATTTTGAGGTTACGGGTTATTCATGTCGTATCATGTCAAGCTGCAAAATAAGCATGTCATGTTTGTGTGGAATATTTTAACCCGATTTCAAATCCATGTTATGTTCGTGTTAAGTGTATTTGTGTTCATGTCGAATTTGTGTCATGTTTTGTAAAACTCAAATTATCACCCTGTTTAGAAGAAAGATATTACTCTTTGTATTTGTAAGAATTGATGGTATCCTAACTTATATACCATAATGATTTTTGTTGATGCCAACTCTATTTCTATAATAGTTTCTTCAAACCAATTATCTTTGTTTCACATTTATTAGGACTTTAAAAATCTTATATAATAAATTACATGACTAATTGATAGTTGGTGATGGCCACTATTAAAGAAATCTTAGAACAAGAACTTAGGAAAAAGAAAGATAACACTCACAAAAGGTTGTATTTTTTATTACACATATTCAGCTCTACACCAGAATATTTATATAAGATGAGGATTAAATACAATAGCAACTAATATGCCAACTAACAACTAACCTGCTAACTAAGAACTAACACAATAATAAATGCAAAATATGACAGCTAAGTTGAACATAGCTTCTTAGAGAAGTGCATAAGAAAGTGGCACACAATTAGGCTGATTATGTTGAATTTAATAGAGTTGAATATCAACACTCCCCCAGCTGAGTTGTATATGTTGATCATGCCCAGCTTGCTACTTAGCTCCTCAAGCTTGACTCTTGGCAGCGCTTTGGTTAGGACATCAGCCACTTGAGAATTGGAGGACACATGATGTAAAGCAATGATTTCTGCTTTTATTTTTTCCTTGATAAAATGTCTATCAATCTCCACATGCTTAGTCATATCATGATGAATTGGATTTTTTTACTATACCAATAGTTGCCATATTGTCACAGAAGATTTGTATAGGTGAGCTATGCTAGAGTTTTAATTCCTTCAGTAATCTTAGTATCCATATTCCTTCACAAATTTCAAGTGCAAGAGCTTTAAATTCAGCTTCGGCACTGCTCCTTACAACAAAAGGTTGCTTCTTGCTCCTCCATGTTACCAAGTTTCCCCATACAAAGGTGTAATAGCCGGTGGTAGACCTTCTATTAATTATTGATCCAGCCCAATCTGTATTGGAATAAACCTCAACGTCTCTTTTGCAATTTTTGGAGAAGTATAGACCATTTCCCGACATTTTTTTCAAGTGCTTCAGAATTCTGTACACAGTTTCCCAGTGCTTTTCTGTTGGTTTGTGCATGAACTAGTTAACCACACTAACAGGGAAGCAAATGTTAGGCCGAGTATGGGTTAGACAGATGAGCTTTATGACCAATCTTTGGTACCTTTTGATATCTACTGATGGACTTTCTTGAACCAATCCCATCTTATAATTGGCTTTCATAAGTGTTTCAGTAGGCTTGCACTCCAATATACTTGTCTCTTCTAAAAGGTCAAGAGTATTCTTTCTTTGAGCTATCGAGATGCCATCTTGCTTCCTTGCAACTTCCATACCCAAGAAATACTTGAGTTAGCCGAGATCGTTAACCTTAAATTCCTTTGCAAGGGATAATTTCAACTTTTCTATTTTCTCGTAATGATTACCTGTGATAACTATATCATCGACATATACAATAAAGATGGTTACCCGGTCATTTAGGCCAGACTTAATGAAGATAGTGTGATCAATTTGGCATTGATAGTACCCTTGGCCTTTTACAACTACGGTAAACTTTTCAAACCATGCCCTTGTGGACTGTTTTAGGCCATATAATGACTTGCGGAGTTTACACACTTTGTTTGAATTTCCTTTTGTATCAACTCCTTGAGGAACTTCCATGTAGACCTCCTCCTCTAGATCTCCATTTAAAAAAGCATTTTCACATCCATCTTGTAACACCCCGTGTATACCCGGTTTGTTAACATGTCATCGTATTAAGCCACGCTTAATTAAAATTGTGGAATAAACTTTTTCTTTTCAATTATGACGTCATTAACAATTACCAAGTTGATTACTTAAGCCTTTTAAAACATTGCCTCTATATAAATCACAATTAAACATCTAACTGAATTACCTCAATAAATAAATAACTGAATGTGTCTCTAATCACGGAACTACAACATGTAGACCGGACAGATCCTGATAGTTTATACAACTCAACCGAACTAAAACATCGTCAAATCAATTTGACATGGACAATCCCCATGCTCACCAAATAA